TGCCTTGGTGGCTCCCTCTAGCAAGCCACACTGATAGTTTCACCTCTATAAATCACAACAATCCTTAAACAGTCCTGAAAACCCTATTGAAGACCAGAGGCCAAAAGCTGGCCCTCTTACAAGAGGCAGGAGGAGAAGGGGATTCATGATACCGATGAATGAAACACCCAGAAAGAAAGTGAAGCAAAATAGAAAACAGCAAGGTTCACAGAAAGTAAACAAACAATGCAGCAAATGCCTTGGTAAACGATCCTCTCAATAGTTTGGCTATACACTGACTGCCCTAGTAGAAGCTGACCACCATTAAGTGCCAGCACCATGGGAGCTGCCAGTCCCCCCTCCCTCCTACCGTCAAAAACCCTCAGCCATCGGTCGAAGCGTCGTCGTCCCTTCACCTTCTAGTGTGTGGTCTGGTCAACAAAACCAACTAACACACCAGGTAGGGAAAGGAGTGACCAGGGAGCCACTAAAGCACCCTTCCCCCAACCCCCCCTCTCCCTAAGAAGTGTCATTCCATAACATTCAATGCTGCAGCTAACATAAAACATAAAAAATACAACACCAGGGATGGAGGAGAGCCAAGATCAAACCCCCCCAATGGGTAAAAAGCAGAAAGGGAAACCCTATCCAGGAAACATGCTCATTATGGACCAATAATAATGACCAGGTAATGAGGTGCCAGGATGCTGATCAACAAACATCCAAGACTGGAACGAGCAAGGATGCTCTCAGGACCAATACCCTGAAAGAGATGGAGCCAAGGAAAAATGCCTGTGTTCAGACACTGAGCCACAAGGGCTGGAAACTAAGGCTGAGCTGGCTACTAAGGAGGAAAGAGATAAAGTTACCCTCCACTCTGACCAGTCCAGCTAAAAAGGCAGCCACCACTAGAGCCACTCAATTGGGGAAATGAAACCATGTAGAATGGAAGCTGCCAGTTCCATGGCAGGGCTCAGGTCGGGCTCAGAGAGTAGAACCCCAGAGACCCTCCCCAGGTAAGATCCAGGTAAGAGGAGGTCCCCTCTGAGGAGGCCAAACATCTCACAGAACCATCAGAATGTCACATCGTCAACGGTCCACTCCATTGAAATGTGACGGAAATGAGAGAGAGCGTCTGTAAGAACATTGGATACATCCTGCATATGAATTGCACAGAGAACCAAATCTAGCCAATCACAGAGTCCAGCTCCAAAGAGGAAGGACTGAAGCAACCCCCATGAATTAGACAAGGAATCACTGGAAAGCAGTCATATGAAGCTGGAAAACAGAGCCCTAAGGGAGATGAACCCTCCACAGAGGCTGCCACAAACTCACAACCCGAACTTGGTGCCTGAAGGAGGAGACCTGCCCAATGACCCCTGGGAAGCCTAGTGATTGCTGGTCGCAAAGCTACAAATCTGAGTCAAGGTTCCCATATCAACATCGAGGAGGATGAAGGCGCCAAGGAATTGAACCCCGAAAAACAGAGAAAAGGTAGTGAAGGGCAAACAGAGTTCCCATCTAACAATCTCTGAACTGTTGAACAGAACAGTACTGGAGGAAGAAGATCAATGCTCAGAGCCTATGTCCATGGGGAACACCACACAACCAAAAATCAGGCTCCTGCACAACCGTTCAACCAACCATTGAGTAATCGTACATATTGCCAACACCAGACAGAGATGAACCTGCAGGTAGAGCAGAGCTGCTGGCAGCAGAAAAGAGAAAGCCAATCAAGAATCCCAGCCCAGACCCAAATTAGTCTGAATGGCTTGCAGACATGCAGACTATCTGAGAGCCCAAACCAGCCAGTTGTCAAAGTAGGTCAAAATATGAACATCCAAAGTGATGCAGCCTGGTATTAAACCATCAGTGCTAATCTTGGAAAAATATGAGGAGCCAGACTCAAGCCAAAGAGCCTGAAGAAGGAAGCATTACACCTCCACAAGACATCCCTAATAGTCCCTGAATCTCAGATGAAACAAAACATACCAGACACCTTCCAAGAAAACTCCCTGCTCACCAGGTGCACTTGAGCAAAAGTGGTCATGCAAAAGGCTGTACCCAGAAGGAAAAGAACCAAACCCAACAAGTCGAGAACTGACCCAAGGCCCACTGAATCCTGCACGGGAAATAAAAACAAGTGGGACACGCAAAAAAAAAAAATGGGCAACCTGATCAACCAAGAGTCCAATTAAGTCACAATGACTAAAAAGAGCTGCGAGTAGAATCCAGAACCAAGAGCCCAAAATGAGAGAAGGAGCCAAGGACCACCATGCTGCAAGCCCAGGGAAACTATCCTAAAAATACATGGAATCAGGGGAAAAGGAGCTGGCTCCAAGAAACTGACCACAATGAAAGCCTACCTCGGCCAAGAACGGGTGATGCTCTAACCCAAGAAAAATGACTCCTGAGCAAATGGTACAGACTCCTTGCTGTGAAAAAACCCAAGGAGGGGCTGCAACAAATCAGACACAACTGAAAGACCAGAGAAGACAGACAGTTCAAAAGAAAATGGATGAAAAGTGGGTGGGTGGACAGAAGGTATATGGACCAAGCCAAAACCAAAGTATGGATGAGCACTTCATCCAGGCACGTTAAATGTGTCAAAAAGAAGTCCACAACTGTCCTCCCAAAGGAGGGGGAGCGAGCAGCTTCGCACAGCCTCCGAAACCCATACTGCAGGCAATACATCTATAACACGTTAGAAGAAAGAGAGGTGATATGATCACCATGTGCAAAACAATAACAGGAATGAATGAATTTGACAAAGCAGAATTCTTGATATCTGCAACTTCAAGAAGTTGAAGTTCATAGATTCAAGATGTTTAGGTCATAGATTAAAGCTAGGGAAACAAAGGTGCCAAAAATAATGGAAAGTACTCTTTTGCAGAGTGGTAGATTGTTGAAACGAGCTAAGTGGATGTTTCTGGCAAGTTTTTGGTGGAGGATGCCATATCCATATCTTGAGGTTATCTTGAGATGATTTCGGGGCTTTAGTGTCCCCGCGGCCCGGTCCTCGACCAGGCCTCCACCCCTAGGAAGCAGCCCGTGATAGCTGACTAACACCCAGGTACCTATTTTACTGCTAGGTAACAGGGGCATAGGGTGAAAGAAACTCTGCCCATTGTTTCTCGCCGGCGCCTGGGATCGAACCCAGGACCACAGGATCACAAGTCCAGCGTGCTGTCCGCTCGGCCGATCAGTACAGTAGTTTCAAAGCCTCATATGACAGACTACTGGGAAGATGTATACCACAAGCATAGCTTTCATTCTGTAACTGAATGTAGGTAATTATCCAGCACCACAGCCAAGTATCCAGGGGGAAACCCAGAGATGGGCAGAGAACAGCTTAACTACAGCCCTGAAGCAAAAATGGAAGCAAAGTAAACAGAGACTCCATGCAAAGGCAAAGAGAAACTGCACAAGGAGCTGCCACATGACCACCACCTGGGGAACGGCTAGACCAAACACGCAAGGCTCCAGCGACACAAAGAAGACACCCCTCAAGACAATCTGAAAGAGAGCTTCCTCATGCCACTTGAGTATGCAGGAACAGAAAAGCTGGACCAAGCCCCAAAGGATAATAATGGTCTGTTTGTAAGCTAGGATGAATCAGAGGCTAAATAACCACAACCAAATGGCCAAAGCCAACCTACACTCAAAAGAGGCCGGGTTTCTAATAGTTTCCAAAGTTGACACAACACGTGAGGCTTGTAAACAAATGCACATGAAGCAAATACTAAAGAATGAAACAATACACAAGCATATGAGGCCCCACAGAACAGAGTCCAACGAACAGCCAACACTCATCTAGAACCTGAAGAGCTGGCAGCTCGTGGAGCAGTCTGATTTGTTAAGTGACGGACTGAGGTTTGTTGACAGGGAAAGCTGTCAGATTCCATGGTGCTGCCACCTGGTGGTGTCTGGCTGCTACTAAGGGGGTGCATCACCTGATTACTGGGTGGCTTGTTTGCAGTCATTTGCTGCATTGTCTACTTTTTGTTCACCTTGCAGTTATCAGTTTTGCTTTGCTTATTTTCTGAGGCCTTGATCCTTCAGTGACGGTGATCATGAATTCCCTGCTCTCTACACCTGAGGAGGCCAGCTTTTTGCCTGTGGTCCTCAGCAGGGTTTGAAGAACTTCAGAGCTGATGGGATTTATAGGTATGTTTAGGTCCCTGATTCTCCTACAGGAAGCCCCCAACACCCCGTCAATGAGGAGTCTTAACAACATTACTACTGTATCTTCACACTTCTTTATACATTTAAAATTCTTATTATTCATGTTCCAGTAAGAATAACTTATTATAGTACTGTACAGTATTACAAAATAATAAAATAATAAAAAGATATTTTGATTTGAATTACTATAAGATTCAAATACTGAATAATCGAAGAATGAGTAAACCAAAAATCTAAAATTCCCAGATAATGAGATGTGTGTCACAAGAGAAAAGATATAGTATATTAATATACTAAAGATACAAAATGTAAAGACGACATGGAGAAATTCGTGTCATTTATATGAAGGAATTTAGCATGTTAAATAGTGCGTGTATTAGAGGGGCCAACAGGGACAACATGTATATAACTGCCACCGAGAAACAACACATTAACGCATGCAAAGCTCTCCACAGGAAAGACCTATTACATGCCTGCATTTCCATACCACATGGTGAATTTTTGCTGGTAGGCAGACAAATATGAAAAATTTGTGTTAAAACAGTTCACAGCATATACCCAAGTGAACATAAATATTTCCTAAACTGTATACTTCACACTGAACTAGGCACAACTATCTGCAATGTAGCTTAATTATACAGTACCTAGATTTAGCCAAATTTTAATCAGTACAATACAAACACTGGCTGTGCTTATTCATAAAACATGCAGAAGCAAAATCAGCAATTCACTATCTTAATCTTTAAAGAGTAGGCTGTGAAAAGATAGCAAATATTGTGTAAGTGCTTCTGGCATTTTCAAAAGTTACATAACAACTAAAAACATATTTCACTTACGGCTGATCTTGCCCCAGGCTGGTATAAAAAGCATGAAAAATAGAGGCGTTAAAGAGGAAACACGCACCAATGACAAGCCTTAAGTCAAGTTGTCCTGTATTGAAATAATTGAATTTGCTAGACACTACAAACTATAGTACTTGGCTGAAAACGCGAAGCTTTTGTTAACACGAGTAAGGGTCATATAGTGCTACAAATTAAGTTAACTACCATCGATTTATACATTTTACAGTTATCTCAAAAGCTATTCAAATCCTATTAAGAAACTTGATTTGTACTCATCACATAAATCTAGAGGTATATATAATAACAAAAACCCCTATCATGGCTACGGGAAGAATAAAACTTAAGAAAAATGTGTTGATGCATTGTAAGAAAAGATCTGACCAAGTAAGCATTCACTGTAGAGCCTGTCTCACTGGTCAAGTAATGTCCAAGTGTAGTTCAGGAGCAGAGCCCCAGTACAGGTACAAAACCAATCATGGGTACAAGGGAACACTCCTATAATGAGTACTGTATTTGTTAACTTTCTTTCTTCCTATTCTCTCACCCTTTTCTTGAATTGCTTTCATTTTAATATAACCTCATTGGAAATTATGGAAAATGAATACACACTTGTCTTCATAAATTGTGTGCTGGCAGTTGAGAAACTATTTATCTATAGCAACCATATTTAAATTGTATCTTTATTATAGTCTTCTACCAATAATATTTGTTTTACTAATACTGTACATATGAAAAAATATATATTAAGAGACTTAAGGAAATTCCTGTTTCAATTTCCGTCCATGGTCTGACACTGTCATATATATATATATGTATACCCAATATAAATTTGATTGGCAGTTAGGTTACAATTACTATCAAAGACAGATTTTGCACACTAGATGTTTGTTAGTGCAGCTTTATGACACAATGACTGGTCGTGTTCACTGGTTCAATGGGATGAAGGCTAAGAAGTGTAGCTATCTCAGGAAAATGGCTTCAGGGTGCTCCAATGGGAGTCCCTCCAAATATATACTTATGTAGCTGCTTACTGCTCGTGCATGAGCAATGAGAGAATGAGAGAACAGAGATGTGAGCAGTGAGAGAGTGAGAGAACAGAGATGTGAACAGTGATAGAGTGAGAGAACAGAGATGAGAGCAGTGACAGAGCGAGAGAACAGAGATGTGAGCAGTGACAGAGCGAGAGAACAGAGATGTGAGCAGTGACAGAGTGAGAGAACAGAGATGAGAGCAGTGACAGAGTGAGAGAACAGAGATGAGAGCAGTGACAGAGTGAGAGAACAGAGATGTGAACAGTGACAGAGTGAGAGAACAGAGATGTGAGCAGTGAGAGTGTGAGAGAACAGAGATGTGAGCAGTGAGAGTGTGAGAGAACAGAGATGTGAGCAGTGAGAGAGAGAGGGAGGGAACAGAGATGTGAACAGTGAGGGAGTGAAGCTGTGGACAGTGAGGCAGGGAGAGAAAGGAACAAGCAACAATAACCTCCTCATCCTTAGTCATAAAGATATCAACCTATTTATTATCATTGTTAGTGGTAAGCTACATTGCACTCAGTCTGGAAGAAAACATGATCCTTTGAAACGGTGGTTGCACCAGAATATTGGACCTCCAGTGCCTGCCCTCAGATTCACTGGATATCCCAGATGCAGAAAATATCTTTCAAGACCTGAAGCCAATAAAGAAATGTGTATCTATCTTGTATATGCAATTTTCTTAACCAAAATGCCAATTCTTGCTAAAAATATATTCTTGTTCATACAAGATTAGACTTTATGATTGTATTTTTATGGATATATTTTCTCAAGTACACATTTACTAGTCATTCGTTCTGATAATTCCTAGTTAATGGAAATTAAAACAAAACTGTATCAACACAAAAATGACCACCTGCAACATACTTGATCAAAATACCTGGTATAGTAATACCTCGATGCAGTTCATTCTATTAGGGGTTACCTTAACAAACACAAGGCTACTATATAGTAAATCTTGCTAATGACATCCATACAGGTTCTCTTAATATTTGTATCACACTTAGTAACTTCTTGCTTATCTTACATACAAATCTACTTTTGCAAAATACATAAATACTACAAACAAAAAATGTAATGTAATGAAATGCCCTTTTCTGGGAAGGAGGGGGCGGAGGGCCTCTGTGGCTACCTATTGCTAGCTGCACTGAGACAGTTCTACAGACACAAGTCACATCAACCCTAGGAGTCCTTAGCAGCCTACTGGAGATTGAGGCCTCCAATAGGCACAGGGAGCAGAGGCAAGTGATCACCCTCGCTGAAGAAACAAACCTTCCAGAAAGTGAAGCAAAACAGACAACTGCCACAGAAATTAAACAAACAATGCAGTAAACTCGACAAACAACCCACCCAGTAGTTAGGTCATACTTTAAGGGACCAATCCTTATCAACACTCTCCCTCTCAATATAAGGGGGCATAACGCTAACTGTGTTGGCTAGTTATGTGTTTCATAACTACAATCGACTTGAGAATGGTCCAGGACGGACTAAAAACGTCGTCATCCCTTCACTTTCTAGTGTGTGGTTTGGTCAACATAGTTATGTGTTTCACTGTGTTCAAAAAGAGAACATGATAATCACCTCCAAAGGATATCTGATCAACTGGGCTGTGATTCTTATCTACGGCTGCAAGCAGCCGTGTCTAACAGCTTGGTTAACCACACCACCACCAAACAGGTTTGGTCATAGACCGGGCCATGAAGATGTTGATCCCTGGAGCCACCAGAAGGTAGGTTAGGTGCCCTTTAGTTTCACCTAGCCACTGCCAGATGGCAGCACCATGGAAGCTGCCAGCTCCCATGCCAATGATGATTACCCAGAGCCAAAGAAAAGGCCAACTAACCACAGAAAAAGAAAATGGGATTCATCAGGGAAGGAGGAGAATAAATATCAAACCCCCTAAAAGGGTAAGACCAGGACAAGAAATCATACCAGCTCCAACAGGTTGTTGCTTGCAGCAGCTCAGGCCCACATATCCACCACAGCCTAGTTGGTTCAGCACTTCTTGAAGAAAATTATCTAGGTTTCTCTTGAAGAGGTCCACATTGTACTACTTAGTGTGAGGCAAGCCTCACAATCTATGGGACTAACACCCAAACTGACGAGGGGGAAACAAAATAACTTGGAAGGGGGCAACATCAATGAGTGCCTAGTGGAGGGCTGCCCTAAGCACATGCAGATAGAGATGAACAGTTACCAAAGTCCACATAACAAAGGAGGCTTGTAACACACTAGAGACTGGTCAGTGTTGACATGGGAAGCTGGCCTCTCCCATGGTGCTGCCACCTGGCAGTGGCCAGCTGGAACTAAAAGAGGTATGACCAAACTACTCAGTGGACCATTTACAGAGTTGTTTGTATTGCTTCCTTACTTTCAGAATGTGAACCTTGCAGATGTCTATTTTGCTTCACTTCTCTTCTGGGGGTTTGTTTTTTTGGTGAGGGTGATGATGGATCCCCTGTTCCCTATGCCTCTGAGTGGGAAAGGGGGAGGCCAGGTTCTGACCTCTGATCTGTGGTAGACTATTAAGGACTCCAAGGGCTGATGTAACAAGTGTGTGGAGCTAACTCAGTGTAGCGAGCAACAGAGAACCACATTTGGTTCCTCCAGAAATAACACATCAATACAAATTCAATATATATCCATCTACCACTGGTATGAAAACTAATATCTAATATATGCATTCCTTAGAAAAACACATTATCACCAAAAATATTAAGCCATTATACTTACAGGTAGGGTAAGCTGCCAAGAAAGCTACATTAGTAATGAATATCGTAATTACATGTTCAGTTCTACAAGAGTCTTCAAATCACCATATTATGGTTAGACAGTATTTAAATATTGTGAATAAGTCTAAAATTACAAAGTAAATGAAACAGTAAGAACACTCACAGCAATGGTTCCCTGGCGAGGATATTTAGTTGAGGCAACATACGAACACTTCACAGTCAACACCACAGCATTCATCAGATTCTTGGCTGCCTGAATTAATGACGTGGCAGAATCCAACTGAAAAGTGCCAAATTTATATAGAGGGAAGTAAATTTTACTATACATACAAAATCATATATAATTACACAAACAAAAGAAAGGCATAAAAAAAAAAAAGAGACTTCTTAAGGGATTTTGGCTTAAAGAAATTGTCTATCTTGTTATATGTAAGACACCATCTCTCACTAGCATGTTAATACTGCAGAATGTCATCCAGGCATTTCTATATCTACTAAGCACTACACTAACAATGCTGTCATTCATATATTCCTTCACCTTGTTCATCAACCAGTGCTCTCCACATGCCTTAAACCTTGAAATATATACAGGTCAATTTTCTCTAGTGAACCCTGCTTTACTTGTACCTGGATGGGAGGGGGGTACTTGATGCAGTTCTCAGTCATGCCTCCTTCCCCATTGTCCACATTCTCACCACATCTAGCCATCAAGCACTGCAGCTGCCAGTCTTCACATATACCTGTTACTCACACCCATGCTTCACCTCCACGAGTCAAAGTTTGCCGTACTATGGTTCTCACCACACTCTACTACACGACTCACATCCTTGCTTATTATACATTGGCACCTCATATGTTACACTCATGGTGTACTTAGTACAGTACATCATGATGTACATCAACCAACATGATGCACTGAGTACATCACGGTGATTGAAGTGTGCATTATAGTCTTCTCAATACAGTATCATCCAATCATCCATCAACAAGAATGCAATGAATTGGCTTTCTAACACCATCACTGTCACCATGCTGCTGTTTCACTTTCATGGAATGGACAGACTTCTATCAGGAAAAGAGGGGAAAAATATTATACGAGAGAAGAGACTTAAAAGGTATTTTTGAATTCCAGAACTACTTACAATGGGTAATGGTACCTGCTGCACAGTAACATCATTGAAAACTGGTACCACCTCACACTAGAAAACATATACAGTAGTTGTAAAGTACTACAGGTGAATTGTGATGTTCATTAAAAAGTAAATCCATTCTATATAACATTCTACAAACTTTTTCATTCCTTTTTCTCTTGAATTTTTCTCATCTTTGCATGAATAATTCCAATATCCCTGCCAAATTTGATACTCAAATCTATGACAAAAAAATAAAAAATTTCTACTACAACTGACCAGCATACTTCACTAACAGAGTTCAAGTTTCATCACACATTATTGAGACACTTACATTGTACTGCCGGTCAGATCACACGGACCGCCAGAACACAGACCCTTTCCTAAACATTTAGAATAACACTGCCACAAATGTGAAGCATCTTACTTTTATGTCAATAGATATTATATTAACTGAAAAGCAGTAATTACAATAAATAACCTACCTATATATGCAACTGGTGTTTTACCAGAGATATGATCGAGATCATTTTGTAACTACTGACAACTATTATTTCTGGGATACACGAGCTGGCCAAAGGCAAATTCTGTAACTCCCTCGTCGTCACTCTTGTTAGTACTGTACTTTATGATACGTAGCCTAGAACTTCTAAACAAAATATTCAACGATTAATATTAAATCCTTATCCACTTGGAGAAAGTGGATAAGGATATCCTCTGTTTGTTTTATACTAGAAAACATTTGGATAAATTAATTTATTCAAGTTGTCTCTTGTATTCAACATATTGGACAAATGGTGCTTGCCAACACTATATATATACATTTGGGTGTTCATCCTTTCAACGGCAATTTAAAAGGAAAGCTTATGCAAGTGTATGAGATGAAAAATGTAATGTTTCCATTTGCCAGGTGATCCTTTGACCACCCAAGAACTTGTGCTTTGAGATGACTTGTTGGGTAAGTTTGTTGAGAATACTTCTCTTGACTGTGTCCAGGAGTTCCATGCACTTTTGTCATCCCCACAAAGCAAGCTACCTTCATCAAATGAGAATTAATGGTTTTGAATCAAAACCCTTCAATGGCAACATATATAATCAATTAAGGATCAATTCATCAATATAATCAATAATAATTTTTTAATATGGAAACAATGAGCAGAGTTTCTTTCACCCTGATGCCCTGTTCACCTAGCAGTAAATAGGTACCTGGGAGTTAGACAGCTGCTACGAGCTGCTTCCTGGGTGTGTGTGTGAAAATTAGGATTAAGGACTTGCCCGAAACGCTGTGCATGCTAGTAGCTGTACGAGAATGTAAGAACTCTTGTACTGTATATATAAATAAATATATACGCATTCTTTGCATGTTGGTAGGTTTTGATCAGACACAATCTTTGATTTATAAACCTGTCTAAAATTTTTGGCAACATTTTTTTACTTGCTATGACATCATCTCATATTCATGGAGCCATCTTACATTTCAATGGCTATTTTTGGGTTTGAAACAAAATGATCTCAGATTCACTCATTTCTTACAGAGAACCACAGTTAGAATCATTTGTGACAAGGATTCCAGTGCATTTGTGGTAGACGAATCTTTGTAATACTGTATATGTTTTCTATGGTAACAAACGTGCTAGCCACTCTAGAGAAACTAAAGATTTGTAAAAGACAGACAATACTTCTAGCTCCTTTCCAGGCTTCCTAATGCTGGTTTCCAGTCCTGTTGGCCACATATCTAGGAATAATGAGGCTACCAAAACCAATTCTCAAAGACAGACAGACGGGAAGATATTTCCATGTTGAGCATCGGTGCCGATCCATATGCAGTGCATTTCTAAATTAGATTTATACAGATCTTTATGGAACAAAAGCAAGTATGATACAGTTGCACATACATTATGAGGTGTCTTGGAGTGCCTTGTAAAGGTTCCTTGTCTTCAGATGTCATCTAATTGTCCATTCCTCAGTAAAACATATGCAATTCTTCACATGATATTTTTGGATAAGAAACTTGTACACAAAACCATTTATGTCATACAATGCATTTCCTATTAAAATCAATTTAGTTAGATTTTAACACTTTCGCGCTTTCGATTAGAGATAACTCGTCACTGGTTTTTCTTACGATTCCGCATAACTGCCTACTTTTCTCGTCAATCGAAAAAATATTTCTATAAATTCCATTTTTTAACCGAAATGGATTGGGATACTTTTGTTTTGTAGAGAATTTATTTGCGAATTTTTTGGTACCAGAATGAATATTGTATCACATAAACTTCTATGAGTAAAAAAAAAAATACACAAAGTATGTTTGGGGGTGTGGCGAGCGTGTGGCAGTGGGTTCCCTTTAGCCGTTGATATATCCAACACGTGGGAAATATTTGTATGTGTTATGTATATGTCTGTGTAGGGAATTTTACTGCGATCACTGTCATACAAATTATAAAATGTTTCAACAAGTATAAACATGACAAACATCAAACGAACGAAAACAATGCGTTCGTTTCTGCCGCGAACGCATACTGAGCGACGTGGTTCTATATTTGGCGCTTCTCTTACACATGCTTTGTACAAATGTTATACAGTTCATCTTATAGAAAATTTTATTGCGAACACATTGGTATAAAAAAGAAATACGTACATAGAAAAGTAGGGTCAGGAAACGTATAAACTTTCCAAGCATGATTTCCCCCCTGTGTTTTCGCCAGTGCGCTCGCGGCTAACTACTCTCCACTTCACACACTCTTGCGGGTGGGCAATTACCTATATTAAACATTCATATGCATATGTCCGTGTAGAGAATTTTATTGCGATTCCAATGATACCAAAATTAGCGACGTAGGACAACTGTAGGCTTCGCAACCATTAAGAGAGTGGAAACATTTTGTTGCTGTTTGGCGCTCTCGGCGAGTGATCTGCATAGTTTTTTATTTGGTGTTGATACTCCTTATGCTTGGGCGGCATTTTATAGGTATGCTCTTATAGACAATTTCATTGCGAACACAGTGATACCAAATTTAAATACGTGCGCCTTCAATTATTGTCAGGACAGTCAAAAGAGTGTACACTTTTTCGGTCTTACTGCATAGGCGCGCGAAGTGCCGAAAGCATCTGGGGTATTGTTTTTTTTTGAGCGCCGAGAGCGCGAAAGTGTTAATATTTATCTAGCCTCATATTTTGTCAAATAGAAAAATCATTTTTTTCAATTAGACCAGCTCATGTTTTCATGGTGCTAAAGTGATGCTTGGCTTAGGTGTTCAATTTATTTGACTTGGAAAGGTTTATAGTTTTCCCTTCATTTATGAACCTAAAGCAGTGCTACTTCCTGCCCTCAATACTGGCAGAGTAAAGCTGCATTCTTTTTTTAATTTGGAAACAAATTTTACTTCTTTCAGTTTGGACATTCGTTTGTTGGGATACGTCATAACCCATCATTCTTGGCTAGAAATGAGACTAATACATTCAGTGTTAACCATCATTATTAACACTACATTAGTATCCCTGGGTGTTCAAACTTCATTAGTGGCCTCGAGCACTTTTTTTGGGGTGTTAAAACTACACCTCAGTGTGTGTGCAGTATTATATGGTTAAGGCTGTGAACTAGATACCAAGACCCCACCATTGTCTCTGACTGGTGACAGCACTCCGTAATGTAGATACTTAAGAGCCTCTAGAGCTTGTAGATTGGAGAAACTCACCTTTGGAGAAACTAAATTAAGGAGGTTGCTCTCTTCCTCAGAAGTAGGGATTTACCAGTAAACTACTTCACCAGGCTGGTGAAGAAGTCAACCACAAGCCAATGTCAAGGACTTTATTCAGAAAAATTTATAGCTTATGAAGCATTCTTCTCTTCTGTTTTATAAGGAGATTTGAACCTAAGGTTTTTGGAGGCAAAATCATACATTTACTTCCCACAAGAAAAAGTAGGCAACAGCCTACAGGTGAACCATATACATTATCCCAGACCAAATGATGAGGAAAGAACCTAGTCACAAAATCCGAGCAATAGCGAAGGCCAGAGCTGGTAAGAGACCAGCACCAGAAAAGGCTGCAAAGAACAGACCCAATACGAAATGTATGTCCAGCACCTGCGACGCACTGAAAACCTAGGCAAGCCTCAAGAACACTGCTCCAGAGCAGCCTAAGGAAGGAACCTAGTTACAAGACCCAGTCAAAGGAATAGCAGGCAAGGAGCAAGGTTGGCCGCTACACCAAGACACCGCACAAAGCAAGCAGTCTTCATCTTGAGCAGAGGTCCGGTGCCTGCAATGCTAATGAGCCACCTAGGTAGAAACTTAAGAGGGTGCCAGGTAAACAGATCAATTGCTCGAGGGCAAATATAGATTTGATGTAAATAAAAAATATAAAATGTTTTAGTTATGCCACAAGGTGTTCTCAGTTTTGATACAAATCTTTTTTAAATACTGTATTACGTATCATTTAGGTATCACATAACTTTGATGAAAATCCTTCTCATTCCATCCTGTCCTACTAGAAAGTCACATTTTGATGTGTACTCTACCTAAGGCCAAAAATTGTCACACTAAAAAATGGTAGGGCTCACAAAATTGACATACTGCCCTGTTTTCTATTTTGGTTCCTCTGGTAGGTTAGCATAAGGGCACTTTAGTATGACAGTTTCTTGGCGTTGAGAAATATTAGGAGACGCTGCTCATTCATATAGCAATTAAGTTGAGTTGACCATCGAAAACAAAAGCAATAAACAAGAATAATGCAAATTTTATGACATCAGTATATGAACACTTTACTGATCTGGGGAAACTATCTCCTTTTGCTAATGTATAGAAAATTTAATAATACTCATCTTCATTTTCAAATACCTGACCAATCATCAACCATTACCCTAATCTTGGATTTAAACTCCTAATGTATAACATACCAACCCACAAAATACTTGTAAATATCACAGGACTCAAGTGAGATGAAACTGTGTTACTTATACAGTTAAATGTAAGATAGGTTATATCAGCTACTAACCCCAGACACTATGAGTTCACCAGATATATTCTGCACATCAGCCTTGACCTTGGAGGTAATGTTCAACTGGTGGCAATAAAGAGCAATACGATCCAAGTACGCTAACATGTCATCCTTGGTTCGCGACTCAGGACACTGATCGGCAATTTGTCTCGAGAGCTTATCCAACTTGGTTCCTGCCTCAGAAATTTTCTTGGCAGCATTAATAACATCCATTGTTGTTTTGAGCGGTCCACGACCTCTGAAGTTTAAATTAAATACATTTGTAATTGCTGTAAGGGCAGATATAATAGAATATTATAAAGAGACATGTAATGCTGTATTATTGAAGATGAATATTACTGTTTATGATAATTTTACTGTTATATTTACATTAAATAATAATTTCATAACTTGACATTCCTAAAATATTATGATTCACATGAATATTCATTTCATTAACAAGATGCACTAACCTTGTAAAATCTGTCATCTCCATCATGATCATACACATATGTTTGGCCAAAACAATTATGTCATTACCAGTGTCATCCCATTTAGCCACTTCCTGGTCAAACTTCACCTTCTCCAAGCGGAAGTTTTCAACCTATATAGAAGAATAACCAATGAAACTACATTGGCCTCACAAATGCATAATAAAAGATCACAGCAAATGTTTCACACCGAAGCCACTTCCATAACAACAGCCAGAAAGGCACAACACTTTTCCCACCTATTTTCTTATACATGGTCTTACACCTGGTCACTAAAAATAAGATTATTTAAATTGACAAAAATCAAAAACTTATTATGCACAATACCACAGTGGAATGAGAAAAGCATGATATATCTATGAATAAATCTTTGGAGAGAAACAGTACGACAAAATCGAACTTGCATCTTGGGTCACCCTGACACCTGCACTACCCACTACACCACTGTCTTGGGTCACCATCTTGGGTCACCCCAGACACCTGCACTACCCACTACACCACCGTCTTGGGTCACCATCTTTGGTCACCACAGATGCCTGCACTAACCACTACACCATCGTGGTCTAGTGGTAAATGTGTATCTGTGGTGACCCAAGATGCAAGTTTCATTCCATCACATTGCTCCAAAGATTGATCTATTATATAAAGTACTGTATTTCCATTGAATAATGTCAGCAACCAACCTGATGTAATATTCTACCACTCTTCAAAAGGAGAGCTATATCATAAAACACTGTTTATTATTAGCATTTAAATGTTTATTTACTTAACATCCTGTCAAGAAAATAGTACTAAGAAATTTAAATGTGACCAACTTTTCTTAAAGTTTGCATATATATATATATGAACATGAAAGAAAAGTCATTTACCAATAAAATATTGTAATTATTCAACAATATACTGAATGTTCAAGTACAATTATCTATAATCAGAGGTATCAGAAAATATTTGCCAGATTATACTAAACAATTGTAACCAAAGCAATATATTTGTTAATAGATTGATTATTAATCAATTGCAAAAGAACTATTAATATTGGCTTCTCTGTACTATTCATCTGGTTTCAAGTCTGACAGCCCATCCTCCTGTTTTGTTAGTATTTATAGCAACACTGAGGACCAGAGTACATATACCTGAGGACCAGAGTACATATACCTGAGGACCAGAGTACATATACCTGAGGACCAGAGTACATATACCTGAGGACCAGAGTACATATACCTGAGGACCAGAGTACATATACCTGAGGACCAGAGTACATATACCTGAGGACCAGAGTACATATACCTGAGGACCATAATATATATACCTGAGGACCATAATATATATACCTGAGGACCAGAGTACATATACCTGAGGACCAGAGTACATATACCTGAGGACCATAGTACATATACCTGAGGACCAGAGTACATATACCTGAGGACCAGAGTAGAGGACCAGAGTACATATACCTGAGGACCAGAGTACATATACCTGAGGACCAGAGTACATATACCTGAGGACCAGAGTACATATATACCAGAGTACATATACCTGAGGACCAGAGTACATATACCTGAGGACCAGAGTACATATACCTGAGGACCATAATACATATACCTGAGGACCAGAGTACATATACCTGAGGACCAGAGTACATATACCTGAGGACCAGAGTACATATACCTGAGGACCAGAGTACATATACCTGAGGACCAGAGTACATATACCTGAGGACCAGAGTACATATACCTGAGGACCAGAGTACATATACCTGAGGACCAGAGTACATATACCTGAGGACCAGAGTACATATACCTGAGGACCAGAGTACATATACCTGAGGACCAGAGTACATATACCTGAGGACCATAATACATATACCTGAGGACCAGAGTACATATACCTGAGGACCAGAGTACATATACCGATGTACAACACAATTAGAAAGTAGAAATCGGCAAACAAACCAGAAAGGTTTTGTATTTATTTTACAAAAACAACCTAAACTAACCTAACCTAACCTTCCTAGGCCTACTTGCACACTATCCGAGGCCTAATATAGTTCATGTGTGTGCTATACTAGGCCTAGGAATATTTAAGTTTGTTTTTAGCTCCATTTTTTCCCCTCTATAAAGTGAATAGTACCAAATTCTACTATCTAATTGATTTAGTACATCAACGTTTGTACTATGGTACACATAGTTACAAAAACTACCATCTAAACAGGAGGATGGGTTGAATTTGAAGATATTCAAATTAAAATAACAAAAGCAAAACGTAACATGCCTGAGCAGCAATTTTGTCTTTGTCCTCCTCGCTCAAGTTTCTCATGGCGTCCCGCGCTGTAGTGATGCCGCTCACTCCAGGGTACTCGTCGATAGTCGTCTCCACTGTGTGAACGCTTGCTGTAATACACACCAAAAATATATTACAATAAATATAGGAAGTAAACAGAAGATTTTGCACATATTGACAAGGTCACATATGTGAATATAACAAAGCAGGTTTCACAACTGTTAGAACAATCAACAAAATCTTCAAGAGAGCAACCAGAGATGGGTAATTGTAAAATACAACATCAGAGAAAGTATGTAAGGAACACTTTTGTTCAATACAGTATACATTTTTTCTATATAAAGAAAGTCACAAATACTTATGACTGGCCGACTCTTCTCTGCTAATGCAGTCAAGATGTCGTGAATGTATTAACTACTTTCAGAAACTTGTTTAACCATTTGTAAAACAGTAAATATACAAGTGGAAATACACACAGATATCAATCACAAGAAAGCATAGTTATATCAACGAGAAAATATAATGAGATATTAATCAGAAAACACAGTAATAGATATCAATCATTCAATCTGAAGTCGGTGCATGTCATAAGCAGAGCTACACAGTTCTGCATTGCACTCACAGAAATTACACTTACAAAACAATGAAAGCTTGAAAAGATATCGCTCAAAAACAAAAAATTAACTTACATTTACTCTTAATTTCCACTGTATGATAATCATCCATGAGGACATCGTCAGGGTCGAGCTCGTCATCAGCCTTGTTCATGAGCACAGCCATGCGGATCTCTCTAACCCCATCGTACACCAGGTGTGAGGCATCAATGAACTCATTTTCATCCACCTCTTTACCTGGAGTACTACTTAATGCTTCCACTGCCACATCCACACGCTGAGCAAAGTTGGGCAGCACTGGCAAGAATATTAATTTTTCAGTTATAAACAAATAACATTTGAATTATAAATTATATACTACTTATATCAACTTGAATTTTTACATGCAAGGTACTAACAATTAAGAAAAAATCTACTATTAATAAAGTATTTTCCTTGTTAATTTCTTCAAATTCATTCCTCTTCATTTTCATATACTGTATCATTTTCTTCCACTAGTTCCTTGATTTGTACCTCCTGTCTCTTTACTTTATGTCAACCTTATCCTGCTGTGTGTAATTACCTAAGTGTAGTTGCAGGATGAGAGCTACGCTCGTGGTGTCCCATCTTCCCTTCACTCTGTCATATGTAAAGTGCTTTTGCACACACACACACACACACACACACAGTGTCCTGCAGTGGTCCAGTGGTAAAGTGTGTAAGTGATATTCTTGGAGTTGCGAGTTCAAACCCGGATTAAAATATATACAACATGTTTAACAAGTTAAGTGAGAAGGTGGTGGAGGCCAAAACCATCACTAATTTCAAAGCATTATATGACAAAGAGTGCTGGGGAGACGGGACACCATGAACGTAGCTCTCATCCTGTAACTACACTTAGGTAATTACACACACAGAGGTGTGTGTGGTGTGTATAAAAGTACTTCAGACATTAAGAAACCTTAACCATCTTACCTTGGTCTCGCAGGACCTTGACAGCCTCCAGCACTCGATCAGTGTACATGCATGGCTCATAATTATCCATTTCTGAAGCCACCACATGACAAACACGAGTTGAGCGACCACGGATGGCACCAGCAATGCGGTCAAGGGTCTCGGGATCCCCCTCATTTATTGCTCTTACACAAGTTTTCACATCCTCCAATATGTGACTCTCTGTCAAAAAGACAAATTAATTAGCCAATATAACTTATACTTTAAACAAAAATAAACCATACACTATATTTAATGATTGAAAAAACTTACATAAAATTACAAAGTGAGGATTATTGCTAAAATGTATTGCATATTTGTTAACATAATATAACATAATACTGTATAGTTGTAATATAACTATATAATATAACAATATAGTTAACATAATAATATAATAATTATATATTGCAAAGTGTAAGCACAAATTTGAACCAGTGCATACCTGAAACTGCTAAGAAATCATCAATGGTTGTAATGTCGTCAACAGATTCCGTCAAAATGCGTACTTGATTCTCCCAAGCATCCTTGAAGGCATCCATGTTCTCTTGTGTTACCTGAGAACATTGGTACACTGTTTAAATAACTTGGTTAGCATGATGACCAAACCACACATCACAAGATGGAGAAACAGTGACATTTTGGTCCGTCCTGGATCATTATCGAGTTGACTTGGGTAGCACGTAAAAGGAAATGATAGACTAAACATGTTTAAAAGCTTGAACACCATGTCTAAGCAAATCACAGAACCAACATGATTGTAAATTGATTTAAAAGTAGTGAATGCTGAAAATGTACAAAACTTGACACTGTCAGTGCAGAGATGCAGAACTACAAGGCCAATCTACTACATGTCTTCCACCCTAACCTGTTAAAGTCATATTTTTGGTCTACCTCTCCACACAAGAGAAGGATATCCAGGGTCAACCATTTCCTACAACTATGAGGTGCAACTATATACACCTCAACATATTCTTCCCATTTATCAATACCATTCATAACATATTACAATTTAAATCATTTGCCCAAGTAAATACTCCATCAAACCTCAAAGAAGAAAGTCAATTGTATTATCATCAGCCCTATTCTTAAGAAAAACTAAATGTTGAATTTGATTTTTTGGGGGGCAAGAATAATGGGGGTCATTCAATAAATGTGTCATATGTAACTTACCTTGGACTTGGGTCTTGCTGAGAGGATGCTTGCAGCATTAATAACCTGTGGACACAACTGTTCAATCTGCGCCGCACCGTATCTAACCATCTTAACACCGTCTTCGTTGTTGGACATGGTGCATGCCAGGTTGGCCACTTCCACTAACTTATTTGCGTGCTCTGTAAACACCTGCAAAATACTTTGTCATTAGTTATGTGGATTGTTTACCTTTCATGAAAATTTTAACATCTCATACATTTTAGATTTAAAACAAAAATCATTTACTATTAATTTTAAAATATTTAGCTGAGAAGGTTAATTATCAGCTATTAAAGTTGACTCCAAATTACAACTTCTCACCATGACAGCCAGTGTGTGTGCCTTTCATACTCGCTCATGCTACACACAGCCGCTATTACTGTTTCAGTCTTGTGACAACACTGAACCACACCTATAAACTCTTCCCTCAAACAAGAGCCAAAAACACAGAAATGAAGAAGATAACTTTAATAAGCAAGTATAAGTAAGAAATTACTTGAAAAGGAATGCAAAATACAAAGTACTGTACGTACCTGTATAGGTAAAAAGTATTCATAATGGAAAGAATTATTAATGGAAGATGTGTAACTGGAAACAATTCAGCAAACTATATGTTGTGTATATGTGTGTGTGTGTGCGCGCGCACAGACTAGGAGTTATTAATATAACAGATGTTCCTACTGTACCCCCATGGCACTACAGTACTCTCATGGGTGATAGATCCATTACTACACTACCTACTACTAGTTCCTTCAGGGACTGCCATCTGTGATAGTGGTAAAAACAGGAACAGTTTATTTGAACACATATTTAGTAATTTTATTCCCTTTATATCTACTAACATTCTGTTTCTAGCAAGTTGATTACATTTCCATCATTATAATACTTGTGTTTCACAAAGATAAATTCTCCAGACTGATCAATAATTAATCATCCCTCCAAGAGGTCTAATGCAATTAAAATATTTTCTAAACCACACCTTACAACCCAGCATTATAGACCCTTGCCATTCCCTGCAGGCATGCTGTCCCAGTGCAAAGTCCAAGAAAAGAAACTGGTAACAAGATGCGGTAACTGAAAAGACCAACAAAATGAAAAGGAGCCAGTACTCCATGATGCTGCACAAACCAGGCCAATGTAATCCCAAGTGTTGACCCAGTACCGGCAACATTAATTACAGGCAACTAGGGAGACACTCTAGTGGGTCCCAGCAACACAATAGTAAACAAAAATCAGAGGAAGAAACTTGGCCTCATAACCGGGTCGACAGTAACAGCTGGCAAGTTCATTTCTGAGTGGAGACCCAGTGCCAGCAACACTTCAAAGAGGTAACTAGGGAGAAAAACCTAGCCTATATAGACTAAAAACCTAAGACTGCATAGCACTCAGAAGGGATTGAACAAAAAACCAGCGTTGAATGTAATGAAACGCCATTTTCTGGGTGAGCCCCGGAGGCTCCCTGGAGCTTATCGGGCTAATGTGTGTTATGTTAGACCGGGACATTAGCTAAGGAGTTCAGACCTACCAGGGACCAGCGCCAGAACCTGGCCCCTTCAGAGAGGTTTCAGGGAGCAATGGCCCTGGAAAACCCCATATGGTTGGGGGTTTTCCTTATCTGCCATCGACCGGGGTTAGGCACCCAGAAAGGTAGGCGTAACAAAACAAACCCCACATGGTAAGAAACTACAACAAAAACCGAACAGAGAGGTAGAAAACTCCCTACAATCCCAAGGAAACAAGCAAACAAGCAAACATCACACTTTACTGCCGCGCCGATCGTCCGCGCAGCCCTCCCCACCCCGGGAGGGGGAGGGGGGAGCCCCGGACCTACCGCGCCGGCTGCCAAGCTCCAGTTCGGAAGCTAAGCTTCAACCAACGCGAAAAAACCGCCGACCGGTGGGAGGGAGGGTTTCCAGGGAGCCTCCGGGGCTCACCCAGAAAATGGCGTTTCATTACATTCAACGCTGGTTTTCTGTGGGGAGCCCCTACGGCTCCCTGGAGCTTCATACCCAAAGAGAAGGAAAAGAAAGGGCTAACCCGGGAGGCGGCCGCCACAAACTCTGCAACGCAAAGCCAAGACAACCGGTCGCAAACCTGCGACCCAAGGCAACAAGAACGCCCAAGAACAGACGCACACATGGATGGGCGGCCAAAAACCTGTGCGACCCACAATTCCCTGCGCCCGAAATGAGCCCGAGACGTCACCAACACAGCAGCAATTGCTGCAAACGTCTGAACAGCACGGGCGCAAAGACAGACCGCAGTAAGAAGGAAAACACTGCGGACGACCCGGGAGACCCGAGCCCTGAAAACAGGGAACGAAGGAACCGGATCAACCACAGCGCATCCCCAGGAACGGTACGCCAGCAACAGCAAAAAGCACAACTGGACAACACAGGACGCACCCCCCGGCCAAACCAAACAAGTACTAATACCCCAAGAACCCCTCCGGAAAGCAGCCGTCTCGACCGTCGCCAGGACAGAGAAAGGCTGCACACCAATAAAGCTACCACCAGTACCAAAGAGGAGGAAACTAAAACCGAAGGGGCTACCACAAACGGAGGGGAAGAGAAGAAGGCACCCTGAACAAGGACCAGGATGGCTCAGGCGACTCATGAGCAGGCCGGAGGGGAAACAAAACGCGAGAAGACGTAATAAACGTCATACAGTCTCCAAGACGAAGCTCGCAGGTGGGACACCATCAACAAAGCCACCTGAACACCATAGAGATGGCGATACCTGCGTCAAAATACCAGACGCGAAGAGCCAAAGAGAAGGCCGAACCAGTCACGGACAGGACCGATTCGGCCTGCTGAAAGAGGCGAAGCCTCAGGAAAAACGCCCCGGGTACGGACACCTATCAAGCAGCGTCTGAAAAGAAGGCTGGGCCGGCCACAGTGGAACCATAAGGACTGTTCTCGTGGGAATGGGCTGCAACTGAGCCAGAACCCGAAGCAACAGCTGGACCGGGAGAAGAGGTACAGGTACCCCCCACCTCGACCAGGCCTGCCGAAAGCCTCCACCGTGAAGTCCTCGCAGGTGGGAAGGGCGCCACAAAACGGGCGACGCCTAGACCACGCCGACCCGAAGACGTCCATGGCCAGGAGTCCATAAGCCCAACAGAGCCAACAAAACGAATCGGCGACGACTGGCCAACCCACGAAGAGGAATGAACCGAGACAGCTGTCCACCAGGACGCAGGACACACCCCAGACACGAACCACACGGTTAACCAAACCCCCTGTGGTTCCGGCAAGAACCACCAGAGAACAGTCCAAACAGAGCTGAATGGTAGAGTACCTAGTGACCCAAACCCTCCGAAGCGCAAACCAGACAGCCATGAACACCTGAACCGGGCTGTGAGCCCGATGGACAGACAGACTCCATCAACCTCGGCCGACCTGGTGAGCACTGGTCACAAAGCCCCAGCCGAGAGACGACCCGTCCGTGAACACATCGAGCGAAGGCTCGGGGAGCCGCCAAAGCACGGAACCCCGAAAACCCCAAAGAGGAAGCTGGTGACGCAGCACCAACACCAGATCCCCAGAGGAACCCAAGGAATGCAAGAGGCGGAAGTGGAGTCTCCGTAGGAACCAACCGACGCCGGAGCGAAACCCGACTCCGCGGGCAGACAAGCACGCCGAAGTGCAAACTCCCGCACAACCGCCCAAGCAACCGCTGAGCAACCCGGGACCCCCTCCTGAACAGCCAAAGGCGGGACCACAGCCACAGCAACACTTCTGGAGGGAAGACAATGAGGGGCCCCAAGAGCCTGAAACAAGGCCCAGGTCCGAACCCGGGACGGAAACAGAAGGTAAAACCTCCAGATCACCAGGAAACCAAACCCAGCGATCTGGAAAGAACCATCCCCTGGCGAGCAGACAAGCGGACTGACTGGGAGCCCACTCCAGCCAGTCGTCGAGGTAGGCCAGACACCGAATCTCAGACGCAGACAGGGCACTAAGATCCGGGAAAGATGCAAAGAGTATACAAAGTGCCCTTCACAAAATAGGGAATGCAATAAAAACAGCAAACCTGAAGCCCCACCACCAAAGCATTGTATGACAATCATATGAAGACATATTATGACATGACAATCATTATATGACAATATGACAATTATAATCAAAGCATTATATGACAAAGAGTGCTGGGAAGACGGGACACCACGAGAGTAGCTCTCATCCTGTAACTACACTTAGGTAAGTACACATAGGTAATTACCAACCGTGCTAGCCCCAGAAAAACTGGAGAGGAACGTGCCAAGAAGTGACCTGGAGGTCCAGGTCCACCATCCATGCACCCGGCCCTAACAGAATCCGAACAGGAGACAACAGTCCTCCGAGCAGGGCAGAGGATCCAGGGCGCAGACGGAAGTAGTCCAGAAGAACTGCAGACTGGAAAAGCTCATGACTGCAAAGAGCAGACGGGAAAAGCTCATGACTGCAAAGAGCAGACGGGAAGCCCAGAAGGATGGGGCGGATCGACCACGCCCCACGCACCCACGAAGAGGAAATGAAGCGCAGGGAAGAAGCCCACCCCGCCAGCTCTGAACCCCCCCAAGGGGGAGAAGCCGTCCTCCGACGCCAGCAGAGGCCGGAAGACAACCCAAAGCGCCCACCAACAGCGGGACCAAGCGAGAGGCAACAGAGCAAGCTGCTCCCCCAGCGCCCAGTCAACAGAGAAGGGAACAGAACCCCTTCAGAAAGAAAAAGTACACTACCGAAGTCATGAGGAGAGACTACGGGAATGAAACCACACTTCGCTGGAAGAGGAAGTGAGGGGAAACCTGATCACCACATACAAGATACCCAAGGGAATCGACAGGGTTGAGAAGGACAGGATATGTAACAAGGGGCACTAAGAAGTAATGTGGCGACTCCTCACACAAGGAACGAGGCTGACCCCCATACAATGTCACATGTAGACATGACAGAGCCCAAGAGGCACAGGAACCGATACACCTGTTGACGGACGGTTGAGAGGCAGGACCAAGGAGCCAGAGCTCAACCCCCACAAGCACAACTAGGTGAGGACATATAGTGTAAAAGCACAAGCCGCCGACTAGTGGCAAAGAGCACTACGCCGGCCAGGCAAAGAAGGCACAAAACTGCATCAAAAGGCCCACCTCGACAGCAAAACCACAAAGTCCCAGCACAACCACAACATGTGCCAAGACCCAAAAAGCTCAGTCTGCAAGCCAGGAAGACCCCGGAACCCCAAAAGGCAGAACCGGGTCACATGAGGAAACAAAGTCCCCTGAACCCACAAAAGGGGGCCCAAGAGGAAGAAACCTCCAGAACGAAACCAAGGAACCCAAAGGAACCCAGAATCGAACCAGGGGGAGCCCAAACCACCACATTTGCCAGCGGAGAACACCACTAAAAGGCAAAGCACAGACCCCAGCAGAACGCCCTGGGAAAACGGTCCCAACAGACCGAAAACCGAGGGGCAAGGTGTGGGAGCAAGCATACCAGCAGGGGCACTGAGCCTAAACCCAGAGGCTCAGACCCAAAATCAACACCCAAACGTTCCCAGAGAAACAGGAAACGGCAAGAAAACACCAGAAAAACAAAGAAACGACAACAGAACAAAAAACCCTGCAAATTTTTTGAAAACTCACCAGAGACGCTCGCTCGCACACCCAGACGCATGTAAACAAACCGCAACGCCGCCCTGGTGGCCACGCCGGGAAACCGGCAGACGAAAATGGCCGCCAGCAGGGGCTGTGACTGACGCTTAATACACAAAAACACGCCAGCAAATGTGGGAAGCTAGCAGACTGGAAGGGCGAAAAACGACGCCCAACAGCAGAAAAACCCCTGAAGGGGCAAAACCGCCCCAGAACTGCTAGTAGGCATCCCCCACAGCCCCGGGAACCAACAACAGAGGCCCCGGGGCAGAGCCGTCCTCCAAGCCCTCCGCCCTGAAAGAAAAGCAAGAGCCCATGGGAAAGGCAACAAGAAAGGGCCGCTGGTAAGACCCAGAAGCCTTGGCAGGAGGCACAGGCTCAAACCTCCGTCCCCAACCCGAACGGGGCATCCCCCGAAAACCGCCCGAGTCTCTGCCGCAACTGAACCCCGCCCCGACCCAGAAACCCGCAGACGGTCCGGAGCCGGGAACATGGAGTGAAAGGGGCGAGCAGCACCTAACCAAACGGGGCGGCCACGGGGCATTCGAGTGGGAAACCAACCTAGCATGTTGCAGCAACCTAACCTAGCTTGCAACACGGATGCCGCCTGTACTCTGAACAGTAATAACATCAGGAGAGTACTGGAGAACAAGCAGAGAATCACTCGCAAGACTCCGGGTCAAGGTGTCAGTGACCCAACAGGCAGCATGACGGAGGTAAAAATGGCGACTGTCACCCGGAGACAAGGGAACAGCAACCAACGATCCCGTACAAGACGGGTTGGAACCCGGAAGACACATTCAATGGTCCCCCGAGCCCAGACAGGGGTTTCCAGGGCCCGTAGGGTAACAACTACGGGAAGCCCGGGCAAGGTGTTGCTAACCGGTTAAGAAACCCAAACATAACAAGAGGGTAGATTATAGCACTGAAAACCCCTCGAGACGTGTACAAGCACGGGGGCCTAGCAGAGGGCCGCCAAACACTACCAGTGGAACTATAACCACCTTAGGCAGACCCCCACCAGGCAAGAAAATGAAAAACAAAAGAAAAACCCCGCAAAAGTACACCGTCTCCAGAGGCAACAGAAACCGGCCGCCGCTTAGGTGGCAGGCTGCGCAACACCTTGACGCCCTAACCAGCACAATACCAATCCCTACCCAGGGCCAAACAAGGGCCCCAAGCCCCAGCTGGCCCCAAGGGCGAGGCAAATGCCGAGCAGCAAGAACCTCTACGGGAATGGTTCCCAAACGCCCCAGGGAAGATAACCCTGTAACGCAAGGGCAGTACTCACAGGGCGCTTAGGGAAGTCAGCCACTAAGCACATGCAGCCCCGGCACTGATGAAGTACTCCTGGCCACCGCACACCACAACACACGGCAGTGAACGCCACACAAGGCAAACACCGCCTAGGAAACTGAGGCCAGAGAAGCGTCAATCCCGGTTGACATTAGCGAACGAACTGGAGCTTGGCAGCCGGCGCGGTAGGTCCGGGGCTCCCCCCTCCCCCTCCCGGGGTGGGGAGGGCTGCGCGGACGATCGGCGCGGCAGTAAAGTGTGATGTTTGCTTGTTTGCTTGTTTCCTTGGGATTGTAGGGAGTTTTCTACCTCTCTGTTCGGTTTTTGTTGTAGTTTCTTACCATGTGGGGTTTGTTTTGTTACGCCTACCTTTCTGGGTGCCTAACCCCGGTCGATGGCAGATAAGGAAAACCCCCAACCATATGGGGTTTTCCAGGGCCATTGCTCCCTGAAACCTCTCTGAAGGGGCCAGGTTCTGGCGCTGGTCCCTGGTAGGTCTGAACTCCTTAGCTAATGTCCCGGTCTAACATAACATACATTAGCCCGATAAGCTCCAGGGAGCCGTAGGGGCTCCCCACAGAAACTTATATTAAATCTTAAAAATTTGTTTAACATACCTGAGCATATTCTTCCACTTCCTTTTCATTACCATTTCGTGCTGCTTCCACTAAAACAAGAAGAGGAACATTCGTCTCGAGGAAGCTGAAAAGAATGAAAAGTACCATTTTAAAATGGAAGGCATCGGTGTATGAACCATCCGGTTGTCCCTAAGATAACATCTGCTTTGATCTCTGGAAAAATATCTTGACAGAATGCTAAGTGAACGTCTTTCTTGACATGAGCCCTACATAGAAGTTTTCAACAGATTCCAGAAAGGTCATGAAAGATGCATGCGGTCACTGAAGATAACTTCAATCCAGTCAGATTGATTGAAGATATATTTCAAGTAGATTCAAAGCTGAGTTAGAGTTCTCCTTGTGATCATAAACGACACCTCTAAATGGATTATCGCTGGATGAGGGTTCTGGGAGTTCTTCTACTCCTTAAGCCTGGACCAAGCTCAACTTGTGAGAGCTTGGTCTAACAGGCTAACTTCGAGTGGCCTGCAGGCCCACATATTCACTACAACCCAGTTGATCCGGCACTTCTAGCAGAAAAGTAGCCAGTTTTTTCTTGAAGACTTCCACTTTTGCAAAAGCTGACAGTGCCATGTTCCCAACATGGTTTCTGGCCACTCTAACCTCACATTCTTCCTGACTAACACAAGATGTATCTTTAAAAATAGTGAACTTGTTTGTGTGTGTTATTACCTAAGTGTACAGTAGTTAGAGGATGGGAGCTACGCTCATGGTGTCCCGTCTTCCTAGTACCCTTTGTCGTATAATGCTTTGAAACTACTGACGGTTTTGGCCTCTACCACCTTCTTTTTTAACTTGTTTCAACTGTCTACCACTCTTGTTTGCAAAAAAAACTTTCTATTACTTTTTCAGCACTTTTGTTTCCTTAGCTTGAAGAGTTAAAAGGAAGCCATTTTGTAGCATGCTTTTGCACCTTTTCCAGTTTATTTATGTGCTTCTTGGAGCACAAGAAGTCTAAGTTATCCAGTCTAAATTCAAGTTTTAAGCATACTGAGTTAGAACACCCTTCACATGGGTCCTTCTCTTAGAGCAAAAGGCATAATCTTTCTGTTCTAAATTCATGATGACCTCTGTTGTGAAGGTCATTATTCTCCACAAAAGTGAAGATCAGACTCCTGATCACTCAAGAACTTTTATTATGTGATGTTAGTGCAACTGGAATATAGTTTTTAGCTAATGCTTTGCTCCCTTCCTTGTGTAGGGGTGTTATATCTGCTGATTTAAGTGCTTCTGGTTCTCACCTGTATCCAAGCTTTTTTTTACACACTGCAATGAGTGCTCGGCCTACTGGCCTGTTACACTTCATAACAAATATAAAAATTCCACGAGTCTGGACCTGGGGCCGAGTGCATGGAGCAGCATGTCAATTTCTCTTCCAAAATCTGCAATGTCTGTGGTGATATCAGTTATATCATGAAGGGTTTAGGCATCATTCATAAAGAAGCTGTCTGGATCTTCCAATTTCATGTTGTTTATTGGGGTATAAACTGATGCTGATCTTTTAGTATTTCTCTAATTTTCTTCTTGTCCACTGTGTATGAATCTTCACTTGTAAGTATAGGTCCAATACTGGTGGAGGCTCTTGATTTTGATTTAGCATATGTGAAGAAATATTTAGCCTTTATTTTTATATCTTGTATGGCTTTCCAATCCAACTTCATTTCTTCAGTCTGATATGACTGGTTCAGCTTCTTTAGTCTCTGTTTAAATAAAAAAAAATTCTTTATTGGGATAGTTGTGTCTGCTTAAGTATTTCTGTTATTTTTCCCTTCTGTAGTGTTGCCTGTACTCTCTAACCTGTCCTCTTTCTGACCTTCCACAAAGGGATATGTTTCAAGCAGACTTTGTACACTTCAGCCATCATTTGTTATACTCTTTGTAAATGAGTTTTGTTACTTAAGATGGTTTCCCATTGAATATTTGCAAGATCTAAGTTGATTTTTTCCCAATCAATCCTCGTATTATTAAAATTTAATTACAATAATTGAATAACCCCTCTCGCTTGAACATTTTTTGTTTGGCATATTATGAGTAGTGATATTAGTTTGCACTTCAATGAGCTTGTGATCTTAATACATAGTATCTAAGATTATAATGTCCCTGAATATTTCTTTATTGTTTGTGAAGCTCAGATTTAGTGCATTTTCATTCCTAGCTGGCTGTTATCTGATGGTTAAGCAAAAAAATTGTCACAATTTAATAGTTTTCTGATCTGCAGCTAGTTATTTCCTGGATGATTTCCTGGTACTGTATAACACTATTGTTTGCTATGTGCTATCTTAGACTGGGCAGGATGAAGTCAAGGATGATAATATCCAGTATTGGGTTTGGCAAATTATCTAGGCTATTCTCCTTTATGCTTATCTGGTCTGTGAATTCTTCAAGCTAAGCTTTGGAAAGTTCCAAATGGGTAGATCTAGAAGCAAGTGAGGAGGCAATCCTACACATACACAGATTCATTTGAACACACACACACAAGAAGTGTAATATTATAATAGCTTAGGGCACTTACACACAAGAACCAAAGGTTAAATGTTGAACATGCCACACTTAATTTTGGCATCCGTGTGTCCACCTATCCATGCAAATACTGTAGTCTGGAAGACTGTAAAATTTGAGGGTTCCAAACAACTGTGTCGTGTACATGCTGCTGCTGCCTTCTGCTTACGGTTAGGCAATGGGCAGTTATGCAGACGCGTCATTTGATTACAAGACAAACTTTTTTAACTGCTTTGAGTTTACAAGCACCTTCTGTTAATCATAGGAGGCTCAAGTGAACTATTTCTAGTAATCCCATAGTATCTTTTATGACCTTGCAAGAACCACTTCAGAAGTTCCTGGTGGTGTTCATGCCAAGACTATCACCTACTAGAGGTGTCACCTATCCAGAGGGTTGGCACATTTTACTTTAAAAGTTAAATGAATTAAAGTAACTAAGAATAATCATTATTTTAATAATGTAAAATAGAGGTAGAGAACAAATATGCGACTTAGAGCTGGATTTTGTATAGTAACTATTTGAAGAGATTTATGGTACCAAAAAATAACAAGAAAAGATAAAAGCAATCAAGGCAGTTTTGCTACTACAGTAACAGTAACAATTACACAATAGTTTTATAAATAAAACAATTTAATCCAGCAGCAGAAATCTCAATAAAAATGGTCTAAAAAAACTTTTTCTTTACAAAAATATTAATAAGCAATATGTAAAGACTCAGACCAGAATATTTAAACAAATGTTCAGCACAGCAATTGTGAGATTTTGCAAATATAATAATGCAGCTATTTAAAACTGACCTGTCTGATACATGATCAACTACAGCTTTGCGCAGCTGACGACGCAAATCCTTGGTCTTGCGATACATGTGATCAATGGCTTTATCCAGGTTCTCTGATGGCTGCTTGCGTCCCATCTAAAACAGCGAGCATGCGTGCATTAAACACCTACGTACTAGAACATCACCTAATAAATAATGGTACTGTACCTGCATTGCCTGAAACTCCTTTATATACAAACAACAGATCTAGCAAGCTTTACTTCATTCACAAAGATTAATGTTAGAGGTTTCTCACAATATGATCTTAGAAGATTGACCAAAGAATGCAGTTGTGAGATTTCATAATATGGAAATTCTTAAATGATTATAACAACAACCAGATATCTTATGATAGATGAATTTTATAAACATTAGACAGATGTAATTATAATGGGATAGAGAAAATCAGAAGAAACCATCAGGAGGATTCGAACCCGCTAACTTGGTTAGCGGGTTCGGCACAGAGAGGAGCTTATGCTACACTTACAAATTTAAGAACTGTTTTTAAATTCATGGATGAATAAATACTAACAATTTTTCATGACATTTATACTGTACCACGAACAGTTGAGGGCCAGTGCCCTTCACTGCCAACACACACTCCCACACAGATCAAATACTGCCACACAATAGACCATAATTGATAGCCTTATTCATCACACAAGCCATATTTAATTGCCACATTTGCCAACCCATACCCACACACAGACCAACCCCTACAGGTAAACCCACCCATACATGTTCACCCCATCCCCATGCACATACCTACATCACCCAACCCCACCCATACATGCTCACCCCGCTCCTATGCACAAACCTACATCACCCAACTCCACCCATACATGCTCACCCCACTCCCATGTATAAACCTTCACAACATATTATATTATATTATATATATATATATATATATATATATATATATATATATATATATATATATATATATATATATATATATATATATATATATATATATATATATATATATATATATATATATATATATTTATTTCAATACCTACACACCTCTTTTACTGTTGTTATAGGACTCCAGTGTTTGTAATATATATATATGTAATATACTGTACAACTAAACATAGGAATACATCCCTTATACTTGGATGGTATAATTGACCGTGAACTCAACTAGTGCGCAATATACTAGTCATGCATACAAGTACCTGTCCTACATAAGGGCTCACAGTAACCCACAACCAAACTGATCACAAATACATGCTTACCCCTAAACTCTTGAACTAGACTGACTCGCACCAGATTACAAGACACGAGCTACACTTTCCAAAGGTCACAGTGCTCTCTGCCCTTTGAAGCAATATTCTGGCCTGGGTTATGGCAGGCAGAGCAAATAGCACAGCACTGTAGCAAAGGTAGAAATGTGCTTTATTTATTCCTGTCATTAGATAGTATGCAATTGGTTGAACATTATTTTGTGCCCTTCACTGCCAACACACCCCCACACAGATCAAATACTGCCACACAATAGACAATAATTGATAGCCTTATTCATCACACAAGCTATTTTTAATTACCACATTTGCCAACCCATACCCACACACAGACCAACCCCTACAGGTAAACCCACCCATACATGATCACCCCGCTCCCATGTATAAACCTTCACAATACAACCATGACATGCTCACCCTGCCCCCATGCACAAACTCACCCATACATGTGCACCCTGCCCCCATGCACAAACCTACACCACACAACTCACCCATACATGCTCACCCTGCCCCCATACACAAACCTACACCACACAACCCCACCCATACATACACAAACCTACACTCAAAGAAAGAGATCTAAGAGATGTTCTGGATAGTGAGCTGTCACCAGAGGATCACATCAAAGGCACAGAGAGGAGCTCATGCTACAGTTACAAATTTAAGAACTGTTTTTAAATTCATAGATGAATAAATACTAAAAAAAATTCATGACATTTATACCAGGAACAGTTGAGCGCCACAGGACATGCAACACTTCAAACCAGACATGACAGGGCTTATCTTATTGAAACCTTTAAAATACTGAACAAATTTGGGGATATTAATCAGGCCATTTTCTAAAGGTTAAATGCAATACATACAAAAGGCAATAGCTTCAAACTCAACAAGCCACAGTTTAGGACAGAAAACAGGAGATACCTTTTTACCCATAGAATTATAAACCCACGTAACAACCTATCCGGTGAAGGCAAAAATACCAACACATTACTGTACTTCAATTCAAAACCCAGTTAGAAAAAAATCTTTTGACAAGTGTGAAGTACAGTCAGTGATGGTCATATGTAGTGAAAATTTATATAGTAATGATAATTGTGTAGTAAAGAACGTTAGTGTAATGACGCAAGTGAATAGTGAAGCTATGGTGATGCAGACAATGACTGAATTCAGTATTACATTTTCTGAGACAGATACAGAAGAGAGTCGGGGCAGGGATGAATAGAGGGGAGAAGATGGGGATGTTGGAGAAGAGGGAAGGACAGATAAAGTGAGGGAAGAGAGAGAGACTCGGGGGCACAGCTGGATACCTCCCTAGTATACGAATAGAAATGAGTCTGTCTGTCCGAGGTTAGAGGCAGCTTCGCCCAGTAAGATAGATCCTAGTAATTGCTGTTAAGTACGTGCCTAGCATGGGCAGGTCAAGATTAGTATCAAAGAAAACAGTGCCATACATGATGCCAGAGTGATTCAGTGTCAATTTTTTTTTTAAGCCAAATAGTCATGCATGGGCGATGCTTCACTTAATTTAAAATTCCCTCACAAAAGTATGGTGAAGAGGCCTTCATTGGTTTCCTTTTTTTTGTTATGTTCTTACATCTTGTACAACATTTCAACTTGTGTGTTAAACCTTTATTTTAATAAGCTATTAACCATATATGTTTTATAGACATCTTTAGAAAACTTACATTGTCCATATATTCAGTTAGAAGATCTTGCAGAGCTTGTCTTACTGCATTACATTCTTCCACAATCTTGAGACGACGGTCATCACGTGTACAGAAGGAGTCGGCCATCAGTGCTGCACCACTGATGATCGACTCTAAACGTTCTTCCAAAGACGGACGGGTGCGCACCTCATTGTAAGTTAGTGGGTCCATATTTATGCGTTCCTGAATGCACAAATTTAATTTGTTTAATTGAAGTGGTTGAAATAACCATATATGTGAGCAGTGTTGATACATAATGAATAACAAAAATTATGTAAGCCATTACCTAAGCATGTAGCATCTCATTCCCTTCAGAAACTCCCCTAGAACGACAATCTGTTTTTGACCAAACATCTACCATGCTGTTCTTTTCATTTCTGAAGTACATTTTGATATGACTTATGCATTAGTACAAATAATGCACTTATTTGCAATAAATACATATTTACTATCATTGCATTCAAATAAATAACTAGGAATACTCAAAAGGTGAAAAAAATTGAAGTTGCAATTGCAACTATTGGTCACAAGTGGTTACCTAAAACTGCTGCCTAGTGACCCAATAACATTACAAGCTGTCTAGTGACCCATTAACATTACAAGCTGACTAGTGACCCATTAACATTACAAGCTGACTAGTGACCCATTAACATTACAAGCTGCCTATTGACCCATTAACATTACAAGCTGACTAGTGACCCATTAACATTACAAGCTGCCTAGTGACCCATTAACATTACAAGCTGACTAGTGACCCATTAACATTACAAGCTGACTAGTGACCCATTAACATTACAAGCTGCCTATTGACCCATTAACATTACAAGCTGACTAGTGACCCATTAACATTACAAGCTGCCTAGTGACCCATTAACATTACAAGCTGCCTAGTGACCCATTAACATTACAAGCTGACTAGTGACCCATTAACATTACAAGCTGTCTAGAGACCCATTAACATTACAAGCTGACTAGTGACCCATTAACATTACAAGCTGACTAGTGACCCATTAACATTACAAGCTGTCTAGAGACCCATTAACATTACAAGCTGACTAGTGACCCATTAACATTACAAGCTGACTAGTGACCCATTAACATTACAAGCTGTCTAGAGACCCATTAACTTTACAAGCTGACTAGTGACCCATTAACATTACAAGCTGACTAGTGACCCATTAACATTACAAGCTGCCTAGTGACCCATTAACATTACAAGCTGCCTAGTGACCCATTAACATTACAAGCTGACTAGTGACCTATTAACATTACAAGCTGTCTAGAGACCCATTAACATTACAAGCTGACTAGTGACCCATTAACATTACAAGCTGACTAGTGACCCATTAACATTACAAGCTGCCTAGTGACCCATTAACATTACAAGCTGCCTAGTGACCCATTAACATTACAAGCTGCCTATTGACCCATTAACATTACAAGCTGACTAGTGACCCATTAACATTACAAGCTGCCTAGTGACCCATTAACATTACAAGCTGCCTAGTGACCCATTAACATTACAAGCTGACTAGTGACCCATTAACATTACAAGCTGTCTAGAGACCCATTAACATTACAAGCTGACTAGTGACCCATTAACATTACAAGCTGACTAGTGACCCATTAACATTACAAGCTGTCTAGAGACCCATTAACATTACAAGCTGACTAGTGACCCATTAACATTACAAGCTGACTAGTGACCCATTAACATTACAAGCTGTCTAGAGACCCATTAACTTTACAAGCTGACTAGTGACCCATTAACATTACAAGCTGACTAGTGACCCATTAACATTACAAGCTGCCTAGTGACCCATTAACATTACAAGCTGCCTAGTGACCCATTAACATTACAAGCTGACTAGTGACCTATTAACATTACAAGCTGTCTAGAGACCCATTAACATTACAAGCTGACTAGTGACCCATTAACATTACAAGCTGACTAGTGACCCATTAACATTACAAGCTGCCTAGTGACCCATTAACATTACAAGCTGCCTAGTGACCCATTAACATTACAAGCTGTCTAGAGACCCATTAACATTACAAGCTGTCTAGAGACCCATTAACATTACAAGCTGACTAGTGACCCATTAACTTTACAAGCTGACTAGTGACCCATTAACATTACAAGCTGTCTAGAGACCCATTAACATTACAAGCTGACTAGTGACCCATTAACTTTACAAGCTGACTTGTGATCCATTAACATTACAAGCTGTCTAGAGACCCATTAACATTACAAGCTGCCTAGTGACCCATTAACATTACAAGCTGCCTAGTGACCCATTAACATTACAAGCTGACTAGTGACCCATTAACATTACAAGCTGCCTAGTGACCCATTAACATTACAAGCTGACTAGTGACCCATTAACATTACAAGCTGCCTAGTGACCCATTAACATTACAAGCTGCCTAGTGACCCATTAACATTACAAGCTGCCTAGTGACCCATTAACATTACAAGCTGTCTAGAGACCCATTAACATTACAAGCTGTCTAGAGACCCATTAACATTACAAGCTGACTAGTGACCCATTAACTTTACAAGCTGACTAGTGACCCATTAACATTACAAGCTGTCTAGAGACCCATTAACATTACAAGCTGACTAGTGACCCATTAACTTTACAAGCTGACTAGTGATCCATTAACATTACAAGCTGTCTAGAGACCCATTAACATTACAAGCTGCCTAGTGACCCATTAACATTACAAGCTGCCTAGTGACCCATTAACATTACAAGCTGACTAGTGACCCATTAACATTACAAGCTGACTAGTGACCCATTAACATTACAAGCTGCCTAGTGACCCATTAACATTACAAGCTGCCTAGTGACCCATTAACATTACAAGCTGCCTAGTGACCCATTAACATTACAAGCTGACTAGTGACCCATTAACATTACAAGCTGACTAGTGACCCATTAACATTACAAGCTGACTAGTAACCCATTAACTTTACAAGCTGACTAGTGACCCATTAACATTACAAGCTGACTAGTGACCCATTAACATTACAAGCTGACTAGTGACCCATTAACATTACAAGCTGACTAGTGACCCATTAACATTACAAGCTGTCTAGAGATCCATTAACATTACAAGCTGACTAGTGACCCATTAACTTTACAAGCTGACTAGTGACCCATTAACTTTACAAGCTGACTAGTGACCCATTAACATTACAAGCTGTCTAGAGACCCATTAACATTACAAGCTGACTAGTGACCCATTAACATTACAAGCTGCCTAGTGACCCATTAACATTACAAGCTGCCTAGTGACCCATTAACATTACAAGCTGACTAGTGACCCATTAACATTACAAGCTGTCTAGAGACCCATTAACATTACAAGCTGACTAGTGACCCATTAACATTACAAGCTGACTAGTGACCCATTAACATTACAAGCTGTCTAGAGACCCATTAACATTACAAGCTGACTAGTGACCCATTAACTTTACAAGCTGACTAGTGACCCATTAACATTACAAGCTGTCTAGAGACCCATTAACATTACAAGCTGCCTAGTGACCCATTAACATTACAAGCTGCCTAGTGACCCATTAACATTACAAGCTGACTAGTGACCTATTAACATTACAAGCTGTCTAGAGACCCATTAACATTACAAGCTGTCTAGAGACCCATTAACATTACAAGCTGACTAGTAACCCATTAACTTTACAAGCTGACTAGTGACCCATTAACATTACAAGCTGACTAGTGACCCATTAACATTACAAGCTGCCTAGTGACCCATTAACATTACAAGCTGCCTAGTGACCCATTAACATTACAAGCTGCCTAGTGACCCATTAACATTACAAGCTGACTAGTGACCCATTAACATTACAAGCTGACTAGTGACCCATTAACATTACAAGCTGACTAGTAACCCATTAACTTTACAAGCTGACTAGTGACCCATTAACATTACAAGCTGACTAGTGACCCATTAACATTACAAGCTGCCTAGTGACCCATTAACATTATAAGCTGCTACTTTATCAAATAATACAATCAGGATTACCCTTGAGGAAAGATAAATTAAATCCGTGACAAAATCATATACAACAATCACCATTACAACCCATATCATATTATTCGTCTATGATCTGGCGATCTATTACTAAATTAGAATACAGTATATTTACATGCTGGTTACCCCCCAGTGAATTACATAGAGGATTATCTCTGTATTGTAGCATAACCCTTTAGTCACGCACAACATTATAAGATTTTCCACCTATGGTGTGCATACCATACTATAATATTTAAGGTACTTTGCAAAATTTCAAACTCTCACCGGTACTCAGTAAAAGTATCGGTATTTTGTGTGCGTGTGCGTGTATCTCAAATGGTATCTTGATCAGTGCCAATTTACTGGATATTTTTTAATGCTCAGGGCATGATTTTTAACACTATAGGAAGACTAAAACTTGTTTTGAATTGGCTTTTTTTGTGCTGATACAGGTAATGTCTGATGCAATTCTTGCACATTCCAAGAATTAATATTTGAAAATAGCTACTGAATAAATGTTAACTCCTATATTTCACATTTTGCAGTATAACCAAAATTCTTTCAACACGAAACATTTTAGGTTAACTTGACAAGGATAATAAAGAGTACTCACATCAAAGTCATCAAGAGCTGAAGCCAGTTCTCCAGGACCCTCGTAGGGCATCTGACCCGCCCCAGTAGCCTTACCCTGAGCTACGTCACTAATGGTGTTGACAGCTTCGCACACTTGTTTGAACACAAAGTCTCGGTTGGCCTTTGCTGCTGCCAGCTCGGGGTGTCGGACATATGCCTGCCAGATTAATTGGATGCACAAAGTTTATCAATAGGATGGCAGCTTTCATAGAGTACGTTATTCCATTTATGGATTTTCGTACAAGCATGCAGTGACCGGCACTACTGAAATTGGTGCAAGGGCCTAAACAGTTAGTAAAGTTATATAAAACAGCAGCAGGAAGATATCATAATGCATACAGAATACAAAATCACTTGGGCTTATACAATCATTCATCATAACCAATCATAAGCAAACAAGAAAGTAAAAATAAATAAAGCACAAGTTTTGTGATTAACTTCATAAGACTCATTTGTATATTGGAATATAATTGGATTTATTTAAGTTAAATACTGAACGTATAATACATTTATATTATTTTGTGCGTGTATCATCTCTTCATTATGTTTAGCACACTTCACACCTGACATATTAACAGGAAAAGAAGTCTGATTGCCAGTAGTAATAAGGCTCATTTTTATTTGAAATTTATACTAATTCATATACAGTATAATAATTCCAAATTTGAGATAATTTATACAAAAGCATGATTGTTTATTTAAAATACAGCAATACATGACAATAATAATCTTGTAATTCAGTAACAATACCTTTAATGAAGAGAATGTCATAATAATGTGGGTGAAAATTAATAACCCAAATACACAAATATAGAGGAAGGTGACGTCATCTTGGTCCGTCCTAGAACCTTAGAAACTTGAGTTGATAACAGTCCAAAACAGACTGAAATGTTACCACTTCCTTGGTTTTCATATGCGACAGTTGGGTTATTAATAAGTCTAATCAGCGTAACTTGAAATGTGTCAAGAATAAGAATTTAGGGAAACTGATTTTAGCATTATAATTTACAGTATAAACAGTCAGATAGCAATACCAATTTTTATACCTTGGAAGCTGTGAGAAGCATCATGGAATTTTTCTTAAGTACAGCTCGAGCTGAGGCTAAATCATCACGCAGCCTCGGGTCCTTAAGTTCATTCTGTCGTTTAGCAGCTTGGTTGATGAGGTCACTTGTGTTTTTACCAAACAAACGGAAATTATCAAGGAGTTCTGATTGACTAGATGCATTTTTCACCTTTTCTAAATCATCCTCCACCTAAGAAAAGCAAAATTTTGGATATTTTAAATATGATTCCTTAATGGCCTGTGAAATTAGCAATTTTAAATTTATAACAATTAAAGTTAACAACTTAATTGGCACAAAAATGTAATGATTTGAGTATTGAATATACAGTACTGGTTACATAAATTAAAAATTAATTTATACTACATTAATTTAAAAAACCAGCGTTGAATGTAATAAAACACCGTTTTCTGGGTGAGACCCGGAGGCTCCCCGGAGCTATCCAGGCTCATATGGATATATTAGACTTTGACATCAATCTGTGCGAGTGGGGTTCTTAAGACTACCGGGGACACAAGCCCGAACCTGGCCCCTCTCAGAGAGGCACGAGGAGCAATGACTGCCCTATAGAATTGCACATGTGATTTGGAGCATTCTATGTCTGCCATCGACTGGATTGGGCACCCAGAAAGGTAAGAATCCCAAAACAAACCCCCATTCTGGTTGAAACTACTATTGAAAGTCAAACGAGTGGCCAGAACTCTCCAAAGAAAAACAAGAAAATGGACCTCTCACGCCAGCTACCCACACCTTCAGTTTTGAGGCCGGATGTCAAAACACACACAAAAAAAACGCCAACCGGAGGGAGGGTTGCCGGGGAACGTACAGGGTCTCGCCCAGAAAATAGCGTTTCATTACATTCAACGCTGGTTTTCAGGGGGAAGCCCCTTCGGCTCTTCAGAGCTACTTCACCAAAGAGAAGGAAAAGAGGGACGCAACTGGGAGGCGTACGCCAGGCAAAACTCAAATCGAAAGCAAGACAATCAATGGCAACGAAGGATCCAGCAAATGACCCGGGAAACCCAAACCTAGGCACAGGGAAGAAGGGAAACCAGGGCAACCAAAAGTGCGACCCACGGATGCAGAAGCCGAGGTGCACAAACAATAGCAGAGAGCCGCAACCGGACACAACACATGATGTACCCCAGCCTAACCAACCAAGCATCAACAACCAGGGACCCCTCTGGAAAGCAGACATCTCATTCATCGCAGAAAAGTAGATGACTGCAAATGAACAAACCAAACACCAGAGCCAAAAGAGCAGAAGCCCCTGCGCTGGAGGAGAGCAAGAAGCTCCCAGACCCAACCCCCAGAGGCCAACGCCAACAGGAAAAGTGCCAGAGAGAAACAATCTTGAACCAAAGGGGGTCACCACAAACCAAGAGGAAGAGATAAGAGAAAAGAGAGAGCACCCAGTCCAATGACCAGGACGGCTCAGACGGCGCATGAGCAGGCCGGAGGAAAAACAATGCCCGAGACACCATGTGAAATGGTGTAGAAGGAACATCAATGCCGAAAGCAAGCTGCAGCAGCTCCGCCAGCATCACACGGTACGAGGCGACAATATGCGGCAGAAGATGATGGTCCAGAAACAACCACGAGAGAAAGGACAAGACAACCGTTACAGAAAGCAAAGTACACCTACGAAGAGACCAAAAAGAATGGAAGGACCGCCAAGGAACTATATGATGCCGCCGAGACGAAGCACGCAGGTGGGACACCATTAACGAAATCACCTGATCACCATACAGGTGGGGATAGACTCGAGTCAAAATACCAGACACTAAGACTCGAGGAGAAGATTGAACCAGCCACATAACGGACCGGACCGATTTGCTGAGAGGGGCGGAGCCAGGGGGAAAACCCCTGGGTTCGGACACCGAGCAAGCAGCGCCTGAAACCAAGGCTGGGCCGGCCACCAAGGGGCCAAGAGGACTACGCTTCACTGGGAAGTCTCCAAGCGAGCTAGGACCAGGAGCAACAGCTGAACCAGGGGAAGAGGTACAAGGAACCCCCACCTCAACCAGTTCTGCCGAAAGCAGCGACCCAGAGAACTCAGCAGACGGGCCACCCCAGAAGTGACCAGCCCCAAAGAGCCAAGGACTGCACTGAACCCCCGCGGTTCAGACAAGAACCACCAGGGAACAATCCAATTGGAGCCTGATAGTCGATCTGCAAGTGACCTGAACCCTCCGGAGCGACATCACACCACCGCGAACACCCGCACCGTGCCGTGGACCCAATGGAAAGACGGACCGTACCGTCCCTGGTTGGCCCAGTGAGCACTGGCCACAAAGCCAGCCAAGAGACGACACGTCCATGAAAACATCGAGTGAGGGCTCGGGTAGGCACTAAGGCACTGAACCCCTAAAAAAAAGCCCCAAGGGGAAGTTAGCGATGCAGCAGCCGATGCAAGGCACCCCCGGGCCAAACCCAATGAGCACGAGAGAGATGCAGAAAGGACAACCCCAAAGAACCTGAACAACCAACGAAGCCAAACCCGACACAGTGGGTAGACCATCACAGCAAGTATAGGCCCATGCACAACCCTCGAGCAACCGCCGAGCGACCTGGGAGCCCCCAAAGCAAGCAAAGGCAGGACTGCAGTCGAAACAGAGACGCCGGAGGGAGAGACAAGGAAGCAGTCCAAGAGTCCCACACAGGACCCAGCCAAGTTCGAACCAGAGAGGGAACCAGACGGGACTTCCTCCAGTACACCAGGAACCCGAACTCGGCGAGCTGGAAAAGAATCAAATCTCTGGCAAGCAGACGCCCGGACTGGCTGGGAGCACAAACCAGCCAATTGTCGAGGTAAGCCAACACCCGAACCCCTAACAGACGGAGACGGGCCACCACGACCCAGGTAAGGCTGGTAAATATGCGAGGTGCCAATTGCAAACCAAATAGAAGGCAATGAAAGTGATAACCGAGACGTCCCACAACAAAAACCAACCGAGCCAGTTTTTGAACCCCGGATGAATCAGGACGTGCCAAAATGCATCCTGGGGGTCCAGAGACACCATGTAAGCACCCAGCCCCAAAATAGACCGAACCTGGGACAGTAGTAATTCGAAAGGAGGGATAATAGACCCAGGGGTTCAGAGAGGACAAGTCCAGAATGAGCCTCGGGACTGGAATAGACGGGAACCCATCTGAGGGATGTCGTCATATCGACCATGCCCAAGCATACTCACTCCAAGACGACCGGACAGAGCGCAGGAGAAGAGGCCTGCCCCGCCAGCCCAAAGCCCCAGAAGGAGGGAGAGCCCCCCCCCCACACCACCTCAGGCTAACTGAAATGACCCGAAAAGCCCACAAATTGTGAGACCAGGCGTGAGCAAACAGCGGGAGCCTTCCTTTCCCCCACTGCCCCATCAATGGGGCAAACCGCAAAACAGGCACCGTCGGCTTACCACGACGAGAGGAAAACCCCGAGCCCTGGCACGACACCTCTGAGGAGAACCCCCTGAGAACCAACAAACCCGACATTGGATGGCAACAAAAAGCTGCTGCCCGCAGAAGCTGCAAACAACAAGGAACAAAAAGGTGATGAACTTAAAAGCCAGGGCCCAAGCAGATCCCAAGGAGGAAGCGAGCACCTCCTGCTGACACGCGAGATGCAAAGCGAAAATAGGCACACTACATCCCATAGGATCGGCGCAAACAGCTCCAAAAGAGCAGACGATGTACGTGCCGCCAAGACCAATGCACCAGACCCAGGAATAATCCCAAGTGCCTCCACACCCTACGCAAGCTGAACCAAGGACAGCTCCAGGAGGGGAAAGAACTGCAAGACTGAAGCCAACAGGTCACGAGTGCGCAAGTCCACAGCAACCCAATGCAGCCAAAAGGGAGGGAACCTGCACATGAAGCTGCACCATGCCAACATCCCGAAGAAGGGCAGGGGCGAACAAGTATGCAGTGAGGTGCCCAACTTACCCTCCCAAGAAAACCTGAACCACCATCAGCACCTCGCACCACACAAGCATATGGGTACAACAGAAAGTACTCCAAGACTCCAAAGACAACACAGGGCAGTCTGCTAGCCAGCACGACTCCAGAACCGCATAACGAACCCAGTAGGGAGACAAAGACCCAAACCTGAATGCAGACAGTTCCATTATGGCGGCGTAATCCGGGTCGCGCAGGAGGTAAGCCGCAATGGCTGCCCACACCTCATGAGGCAGGATGCGGGAAGTCAAAAACCTCCGGAATGACGGACCAGAAGGGACACGGAACCAAACCTGGTGAGGGGCCGACACCAAATCCATCTCGTACATATGGGCGTCTGACAGCTGAGAGGACAGCGCTTCGGATTCATAGTCCTGAGGTTCCAGGTTCGATCCCCGATGGAGGCGGAGAAAAAATGGGCAAAAAGTTTCTTTCACCCTAATGCCCCTGTTATCTAACAGTAAATAGGTACCTGGGAGATAGACAGCTGCTACGGGCTGCTTCCTGGGGGTGTGTAACAAAAAGGAGGCCTGGTTGAGGACCGGGCCGCGAGGATGCTAAGCCCCAAAATCATCTCAAGATAACCTCATGATAGGGGGGGGGGGGGGGGGGCCCCCCAAGAAAAACCCAACTCCTTGTAACAGTAAGCCCCGTTTGTAGGGCAGAAAATCCCAGGTGGGGTCCAACAGGGCCCAAGGCCCCCAAGTCAGCTCCTCCCCATCCCAGGGAACCTCCACACCAGGACCCGGGGCCAAGTTGTCCTCCAAAACCCCGGCCTATAAGCAAAACGGGGCAGCCTCGGGGCTTCCGGGTTAGCAAGCAACCTAGTGCGTTGCAGCAACTGATATCTAGCATGCAACACCTGAGCTGCCTGCACGTGGATAGAGTCATCAGTAGACTGGGTAAACCGAGTCAATAACAAGCAACAACACTTGCAGGACTCTAGGTCGAAGGTGTCACCGACCCAACAGGCAGCATAGTGGAGACAAAAACAGATAGTCACTCCTGAGACAAGGGGACAAAGCAACCCTCAAACTCCACAAGGCAAGAAGGGACCTAGGGGTCGCATCCATCGGGTCCCTTGAGCTCCTGCGGGGTTTCCCATGGCCCTTAGACTAGTATCACTAAGGGAGGCCAAGGCAGGGTACTGCAAACCCGCGCCTAAGTCTACCAAACAAACTTCTAAAAGTTGAACCCCCAGGATATATCCACTCATGGGGACCTAGTGGAAGTATCACCAAGACAATGGTAACGACCTCACACAAGGAGCAGACCCCGACCAGGCAGGAAAACAAAAACAAAAGAACGTTGAAAAACGTTGTCCTCCGCAAGAGGACAACATGCCCAGGCGGAACAGAGCTGGCTGCGATAAGAGGTGATAACTAGCTGTGCAGTATCCTGCGCTCCTACCAGTGCAAACTAACCTTTCCCAAAGGCAAGCAAGGGTGTAGAAAACACCCCAGCACACTAAGGACAACCGATTACTGAGCAGCAAACGACCAAGCAGAGGTAGATCCTAAGGTGACTTGGGTAAGGTGGCCCCAAGCCCCAAGGGTAGTACTTACAGGGCACCTATGGAAGGTGACCCTAGGCGCATGCAGCCCGAGTACTTGTGAGATTACTCCTGGTTCGTGCACCACCAGAGAAGACTTGCCCTACACCGCAATGCACAGAGCAGAGGACAGAAGTCAGGAGCCAGAGCCACACCGACCAATGCCATTCACATCAGCCGAAGAACTGAAGGTGTGGGTAGCCATGGGGGGGGGGGGGGGGGGGGAAGAGTTAGGGGGCCAGAAGTTGGGGGCCTGATGGCTGTGTGGACAACGCTCTGGATTCGTACTCAAGGATTTTGCCATTGGGATAAGCCCTGAAATCATCTCAAGATAATCTCAAGATAGCCGGCATGAGGGGTCTGGGGCTTCCCCTTCCCCCATCCCCAGAAGGGGGGAGCTGCGCAGACGGCGGCGGGGCAAGTGATGACGTCATGCTCGTTTTTCTTTGGGGGGGAGTTCTGTCCACTCGTTTGACTTTCAGTAGTAGTTTCAACCAGAATAGGGGTTTGTCTTGGGATGCTTACTTTTCTGGGTGCCTGACCCAGTCGATGGCAGACATAGAATGCTCCAAATCACATGTGCAATTCTATAGGCCATTGCTCCTCATGCCCCCCTCCTCTGAGGGGGCCAGGTTCTGGCTCGTGGTCCTCGGTAGGCCTAAGAACTCCATTCACACTGATGCCGAAGTCTAATATATCTATATCAGCCCGGATAGCTCCAGGTAGCCAAAGGGGCTTCCCCCAGAAAAAAATTACTAATGTGAAGGAATTTGCTGAACAATGCCAATCAATGTATAAAGATAAATCACTGTACATCTACAGAATCCCTAAATTCCCTTGCAAATAAAAGTATACAAATGCATGCAAAAATGTATTCTTCTTTATATATTTATGCACGCTGGATGTCTTGTGTACCCCTAGGAACTCCTCATCCTTAGACAGGACATGGCCTCATGCAGTGCAAATCTTGTTAGACATTCTGAATGTCTTCAAGAATAAAAGAATATTGAAGTTAATTCTCAAAAACTCTTGAGAGAAGTCAACATGCTGGTGGAGTATCAAAAGGAATGCAATTGTCACTTGTTTACATTGGGAAACAACAATATCTGAAGAGAATGAGGACTGTCCTTGGCACATGCAAGCGAGGTGACACGAGAGACGAACCAAGATAAAAGTCAGGCTCTGAATGAACATGAAAAAAAAACAAAATTCTAAGCAGAACACTGAGATGCTCCCAATAGCAAGATCAATGATAGTCAATTTGGACAGGATCAGGAGTATTCTGCACCTACACTGCTGGTGACTTTTCAAACATCCCTGTTGGTTCATGCCAGGGCTAGGGAGGCACAGGAATACCTCTAACAACCCACTGTGACTAAAGAAAATGTGTCTGCATGCTTACCTGCTGACCTGCTTGCATGCTTACCTGCTGACCTGTCTGGGTAATGTGTTTAGGTAGCCTGGTTCTCGTGATACAATTATGAACAATGGGTCATGGGTAAAAGTGAAGCACAGCACAACTAATGTTGTTTTGGGAAACAGTATAAGGTGTATGAACAATTTCAAAGAAAATGTCAGCATAGCCCAACTAATCTTACTTCTTATAACCGTTAGATGAATCACTGCAAGCAGACAATTAACATCAGAGGTATTAAGGTTTTCTTTAATACCAATGTATTATTGAAATGAAAGCATAATTTATTATTATGTTTATTATTTTCACCTATGTACGCAAGTTTCACTTCAGCATTTTTCTCAAATTTTCTTTGCGACCAGAACTCTCTCCTGCCAATGAACTTTAGAATTTGTATTTTTAAATGTCATTTCAGAACAATAAGTACCAACACCCCCCCTCCCCCCCAGGCAGCATCTTTGCTCCCGAGCCACAACCACTTATCCACACCAGTTTAAAAAAAATAAAAATCCATTAAAACACATTTCCCCTTTTTTCTGGTCTAGCCATACTACTATTGCAGGCAGATACTTTTTTTTTTTTACTTGCAAATAATTTATAGAAAGAAAAATGCATAAAGATGTTTGAGTATCAGTAGGAGAGAGGAAGAGCTCCCATGGTGTCCACCACCTCACACTACTGCCAGCCTCCTCGCTCATAGCCTCCCTCATTCCTCAACTCAAACTGTGCTTTCTAGCCTTGATAACACACCTATTTACATATAGAAATTATTTTGGATTTTTACAGTTTCTATTACATTAAATTCCAAATATTTAATATTATACTGTACACTACTTTTTATGAAAAACAAAGCATAAGCCCAGCATTTTCTAGCATTTTTGATGAATAAAGTATTATTATTGTGTGCATTGTGCTGGTGCAGAATGCTTGTGGAGCACTTCAGTAGACTACCTTAACAAATCATATGTATACAGAAAAAATCTATTAAAAAATAGTCAATTATTCATAGTGAAGCTTATATATAAAACATAAAATTATACAGGAAAGAAGCCTTTATCAAATATTGCTTTTGCCATGACATACCACTTGCAAACTCTTCAAAAGGCGGTGCACATCCACCATATCTGCTAATATAAGAAGGCGAGTGACGGCAGACAACAGATTCCTAGCAGCCCGAACCATGTTGCCGCGCTTCACGCTGCTGCAAGGGTCCTCGGCAAATTCTCGGGCAGCACGTGACATAGTATCTCCTGGTGTTACGGGTATGAGAAGCATCGGATCAATTTTTGCTTCTAAAATTTTTCAAAACAAATCTGAGATATCCTAAAGAGAAAGTGGCAGCTATATTGAAAGGCACACATTAATACATAATTCCAGATACAGACATATTGAGAAATAATAAAATAATACAAATAATTTAGAGATAAATTAATGCAGATAAGCAAAGAAAACAGGCTTTAAGTGTACTGAAAATTACCTTTCTAAGCACAGCATTCAATTGCTTCCTAAGGTTAAGATCGTATTGATCTGCATATGATCTCAACCAGTCAGAGCAGACAAACATTATGCACAGGCATAGCTGGTACCTCTTCAAATGTCCCTGTCATGCCACACTGGTATTAGAGAGACTGGAGAAGACTCTTCAAGCAAGGAATATCTTCCAGAAGATTCATTACAGTATACTGTACTCAGAGCCACTGTATACTGTACTCAAATCATAAGAGCTGCCAAGTAGTACTCTTTGCTAACTACCAAATGGCATGATTGGCTGCAGCCCTTAACACTATCGGTAACTTTGGACCGGACTCGCGTCCATTATTTTTCTCCCGAGTCCTAACTTTGGACCGGACTTGCGTCCACTACAAAAAATATTTGTATAAAATTCATTTTTTATCTAATTGACCTCGGGATAGTATCGAAATAAGCGCCTTTAGAATGCGCACAATTTGATACCAAAATGAAAGAAGTAACATGAAACTTGATGTCCGAACACTTATATGATTATAAATAGGCTTTTGGTCAAAATTTTAAAATATTTGTTAAAATTCTATTTATTATGCTATTATGTTGTGACTAGTTTTAAAATGTGCACCTTTACGCCGCGAACAATTTGATACCAAAATGAAAGATGTATAGTAACACAAAAATTTATGTTAGAACACTGGAAAGACATAAATAATTTTGTGATGATGAGCTTCCAGAATTAAAATATTTGTTAAAATTCCAGTTATTGCTCTATTATTATGGGACTAGTTTTAAATTAAAATACGCGCCTTTTTATTGCGAACAATTTGATACCAAAATGAAAGACATAACACGAAAATTGATGTTATCAAACTGAACGAGTATACACATTAGGTTGCAGTGTACAAATTGGTGCTCGTTCACAGGTAACTTTAGGCTTTTCTGCCGGGAGGCACTCCAAACTTTATTATATTCCTGGGATATTCCTGGAATATAATATATATTCCTGGAATATATATTATATTCCTTTACATTTATTAATAATATATATATTATATAAATATAATAATATATATTATATTTATATAATAATATAAATAATATTTATTATATATATTATTATATTCACACACATCTGTAGGGAATTTAATTGCGAACACAATGATACCATAACGAGCAACGTAGCACGAGAATTAAGGTGAGAAAAATGGAACGAGTATGCACATTTTACTGATTTTGTGCGCTCACGGGTAACTTTTGCCGACTTTAGGCTTTGCTGTTGGGAGTCACGCCAGGCTTTTGGACATTATATTTATACACACCTGTAGGGAATTTAATTGCGAACACAATGATACCAAAACGAGCGACGTAGCACGAGAATTAAGGTGAGAAAGCTGAAACGAGTATACACATTTAGGTGTCACCGCGCACTTGCCCGCACGCTCGCCCGCCGGGTGCATGACCCCTAAGTTGACCGCGCGCCTGCCTGGTGACAGATAGTGCTAATTAACACCAGTTGACAGCATACACCCTGCTTCAGGCCCTAGGCATGTTCTAACAGATCCCCAAGGATAAAACAAACAAAAGGAACCAAGAAGACAGAGCAAAAAAAGGGTTGGATGAGAGCTGCCATGCTCTATGCTCTGAAATATGCATGTGTATTTTCCCAATGTGGGTGTATGGTCTGACATTACTTTAGCATTTTCACTGTTTTTTCCAATGTACAGTTTTTTACAAGTTGATACCCTGTTGTGTAGCAGAGCAGCATGGATACATCAAACAAGAGTAAGAGAAACTTCCTTACCATGGATAATAAAGCCGTGTTATTAGAAAAATATGATCGTGGCATCGTGGCCGGGGAGAAATGAAAATGGCAAATGAGTATGGAGTTGATACCAGTGTTGCTTCTGACAAAAAAGTAAAGGAAGCAGATCATACAGTTTGTAAATAAAATTGAGAGTAATGCTGGAAACAGAAATGACAAAACATTGAAACCTTCTTAGCATGAAGTTTTGGAGGGTACTGGGGCCAGAGTCCCGAAGCAGTTACACAAGCACTTATGAACCTGTATATATTTTCTCAATCTTTGGCAGCTTTGTTTACAGTTATTAAACAGTTAATGAGCTCCGAAGCACCAGGAGGCTATTTATAACAATAACAACAGTTGATTGGGAAGTTTTAATGCTTTTAAACTGTTTCATAAATGTAATCAAAGCCGTAACAGATTGAGGGCAGATGTACACGTTCGTAAGTACTTGCGTAACTGCTTCATGAATCTGGCCCCTGATTACCAGTGATTTTTCAACATTACTGTATATCCTGGGGCTGGATGTCGGTAGGGCACACTATCTAGCTGAAATATGGTATTAACCAAGAGTACCGAGGGATCCAGTTCAGAGCGACCGATTATAACACGTAACGGCAATACAGTACTATTACATACTGCATTTTTTGCCACTCATTTATTAAGGCTAGCCTTTGCTACAAAATGGTAAACAAACAACTTAAAGTTTATTTTAGTGCATAATTAATATTATATTCATACTATTATATTTATACTACTGTATTTGTAAATCTGAATATGGAGAAACATGGATTATATTCTTTGCAATGGGAAAATTCAAGAAAACTGGGTGGACAAAAATCAGCATTGAATGTAATGAAATACTTCTTTCTGATAGAGTCCTGGTGGTTCACCTGAAGCTATCTCACTGAGATTGCTCTTAGCTACTATCTAGAGTTATATTGAGATGATTTCGGGGCCTAGCGTCCCCACGGCCCGGTCCTCAACCAGGCCTCCTTTTTGTTACACACCCCCAGGAAGCAGCCCGTAGCAGCTGTCTAACTCCCAGGTACCTATTTACTGCTAGGTGAACAGGAGCATCAGGGGTGAAAGAAACTCTGCCCATTTCCAAGGATTTCCACCTCCACCGGGGATCGAACCCGGAACCTCAGGACTATGAATCCAAAGCGCTGTCCACTCAGCTGTCAGGCCCCTTAAGGTCATATCAATTGCAGAAATTGTGTTTGGCCTACCAGACACAAGTGCCAACATCAACTTCCCCCACATAAACCCTCCAAGGTTAGTTCTGGAGTAGATAAATATTAACAAACCAACAAAACCACTTCCAAATGCTTGCTTCAGCATTTGTGCTTCAACCTTTGTTGAAGTACAAATGAGCCAAGCCAAGTCCACACAACAAGACAGCTAGGAAAACACTTGTAAAGCAAACATCAAAACTGAAATAATAATACTTAAGCAAATGCCCCCCCCCCCCCCCCCGCCCTGCAGGATGAAGTCCAAGGATGGCCTGCACTTATCTGAGAAGCATGTGGACCCAAGAGCATTGCTGAGAACTTTGCATCAACAACAGAACTGACCTGGGAGAGCTGACATGAGTGTGAGAGGAGAGGGGAAATGAAGAGCTCCAGACCACATGGTGTTGATTATTGGTACTAACAGGTTCAACATAGTTTCAAATGTTTTGATATTTTTTTTAATTATTTGGCTGTCTCGAGGCTACATTTTCTGGGAACCTTCCCAGTGTCTGCAATGTTTTCCAGACTTTGAGGATGTTTTCTCGACGGAGTGGCTGAATGTCACTTGCATTCTGTGCCTCTGTGAGGTGGGGGCCAGATTCTGGCTCTGGTCCCAGGTAGGCTAAACAGAACTCCCACGACTGAAGTGACCTAATAGCAAGGAACAATCTCAATGAAATAGCTTCAGGATGCTACTAAGAGGGTTCCCCCAGAAACATACCATTATTTAGAAGTAATTGTTATGATATATGGATTTTTGAGGCAGTACAATATAGAAATTGTTTCTGGTGCAAAACTTCCTAAACCCTCATTTACAACGTAGATACTGTAACTAGCAATATCTCCAACAATGAGTCTATGTCTTAAAATATCAGTGCAGCTACATATTTATTTTTTAAATAGAGCTGAAGGTCTCTTCTTACCTCCCCGTTTATATACCGACAGTTCTAAGATGGTCACATGGCCTAATAACAATAGCAATCTTCTTTACGCCACCATACATAGTCACTGAACTTGAATGGCATCCAACTTCAGTTACAATTCAAAAAGGCATTCATTAGATATGACAACGATACCAAAACATTAAAAAATTAAGTTAAGTAAATAACGCTATGACAATCCTAAGATATTCCTAGCTGTGATACCTAACTACTACAAATCAAAATACATATTTACCTGTTTTTCTAACTTCCTCCACAGCACCAAGCATCTCGCCCCTAATATCAGGATTTTCATATGCTATTTCCTCTCCTCGCTCAATAAAGTTAGCTGTGGCCGCCTCGACTGCTGCCACCAACACGTGGGCTCTTTTACTCCGGCCTTTCTTTTTTTTGGAAGGTCCCTTTGTGTTGACAAGCGTTGTCACCTATTTATTGAGATTGCAGTTAAAGAAAAACAGCTTAATATTGCATAAAACTTATCAATTTATTAATTAGTATGAATACAAATATGAGCAAGATTCTCATTTAAAAAGCAAGCAATCCTAACATCACTTAGCAAAAGTCCTCATTTACAAAACATGACAAGTCCACAATATCTCATTTTATGGAACATCTCATGGAACATCTCAAGTGACATAACTTTGCATCAGTAAACTCTACAATTCTTAATGCTGAAACTAGTTTTATTTTACAATTAAGCTTTATTTACATAAAATATTAAAAACAACACTTACAGAACTCTTAAGCTAGTAAGGGGAAATAAAAAAAATGTTATAGCAATTGATTTAGTCATAACAAAAATTAAGTCATCTTCACCCTAAACGCTTCCCCATTTCATGGCTGGGGAAGCCCTGACAGAGAAATTATGAATAGGCATTATAAGAAAAACTTCAATGTTATGATGTTTTCTTTCTTTGTTATGAAATGTCTCTTTCTAGTGGGTGTGTCTTATATCTTCCCGAGCTACTCACCTGGCAGGCTGATGTACCGTACTTGAGAACCGCACCAGGCTACGTCAATTCACGCGGGGCAATCAAGGATCTAGACTATAATCTGGCCACCTCAATAAACAGAAAAAGTCTGGGGATCTAGAATAAACCACAGTACCCAAGAGAGACCAGCAGAAAGGTAGAGTGCACCTAAACAAACAGCAGCAGCATGGCAACAGTTGGCAAAACTGTCCTTAACTATCTAAAACTTTAAAGATCTATTTTTTGAGGATCCCTGGGTATCTACCCATCCGGTGCTGCCACTTGCTGGTACTCACAAGAGGTGAACCAGTTGGCCAACACATATAATGACTGTTTACATTGTTAGGGGCAGACTGCCTTGCATCTATTAACCCCTGCACTGCGCACCTGGTTTCGGCAAAAACTTCTTGGGGCAATTGTCAAGGACATATTCTAGTTGTTTACATAAATATTCAGGTAAATTTAATGTCAAAATGCTTCCATACTCTACTATTTTCATTTAAAAACACAGAGTAATGAAAACATTAAAAAACATTAAAATATAGCCTAATTAAAAAAACAAATAGCACAACTCTCAGAGCGCCTAAAGGCGCTTTGCGCAGTGCAGGGGTTAAAGAGCCCAATTCTGCTCTAGGACCCTTGTAGGTGCTTGAGAATTGATGGAACCTGATGTGGCTTAGATCGTCAGGCAGTTGACGAGGCAACTGCCTGTCGAGCTACATTCTCGTTAACTGCCTGTACTGTTGAAGTGAGTGGGACCACATCCTGAGAGGGTCGAGCTATATCCTTAGCTAATTCTTGGCCTGACTCCAAAACCCTCAGACACTTCAGGGCTGGAACCAGAGGCACAGACCAGAAGTAGGGTAAACCACACCCAGAAGGGGAAGAAAGAGGCACAGATTTAGTCCTGCTCGAGGTCACCAACACCTGGTTGACACCTGCACCAGCAATTACGGGGTCTCTTAAAAACTATAGGGGCCCAACTCTAGGGACTCCACACAATCCAACATGCTGTGAATGTCAAACATGACCAAACCTAGCTCAGAAAGCATCACCTGCTTGAAGCTGAATCAGTAAGGGAAGACACCCACCAAGAAGAAACCTCACAGGACTTAGGGTTGCAGGTGTCACCAACAAAGCAGGAAACATGGCAGAGGCAGAAAGAATGATCATCAACAGGTAGCCAAGACTAACACCCTTCAAGCTCAATGGGCCAATCCATAATGGACTACACCACAGACCTGCAAGGGGATTATCAGGGGCCTGATGGTAGATAACCAAGCAGAAATTCCAGATGTTGGAGAGGCTCATTAGAAGAACAATCACCAAGCTTGGCCAAAATAAGCACGCAAGCTCCAGTGCACCTCAGCACAACCAACATGTCCCCCAGCCATGGACCTCAACAGAGATTAATTGATTGGTGAAGAGTAAGCTAGTGGCACAGGCATGAATAAGTGGTAGATTTTTGGAATGAATGTGATCTTTGGTCCTGAAGCAAACAGAGGAGTCAAAGACCCTTAAATAGCCCAAAGCAAGGTTCTCCACCCTAGTGGCCTGACCTCAAGGATGAACTCCAAAACACACAAGAGAAGATAACTCTCAGTGCTGGAACAGTGCCAGTGGGCACCCAGAGAAAAAACCCTAAATGCATGCAGCCTCAAGCACAACAAAAGCCACACAACAAGCTAGAGAGAAAACACTCAAGTGAAGCTAATATTAAATTCAAAGAACAATACAAAAGCAAATGCTCCCCCCCCCCCCAATATAGAATGAAAAGGACCAAGGATGGCCGGCACGTAGCTTGAAGCACAGGGGTCTTACCCACTACTGGTGGACCAGAGCACTACTGGCAGAACCTTCAACCATAACATCAGCAATGAAAGTGATTAATCAGGGGAGCCAGCGTGCCTGCCTAATGGTGGTGATTGGTATTAACGAGTTGTGAGTTACTTTGAGTGAATCTCTGGTTCCATAATTACATGTGTAATTACCCAAGTGTAGTTAGAGGATGAGAGCTATGCTCATGGTGCTCTGTCTTCCCAGTACTCTTTGTCATATAATGCTTTGAAACTGATGATGATTTTGGTCTCACCACCTTCTCACTAATTGCAGAGTTGTTTAGTGGTATCGAGGCTTTATTTCCTGTGAACCTTCTAGTAATTTGAAAAGCTTCACTAGTTTTTGGATGTTTTCCCGGTGAGGTGGCAAAAGTCACTCGCTCCCTGTGTCTCTATGAGGGAGCCAGGTTCTAGCTCTGCTCTCCGGTATGCCAGCTGAACTTGATCGACTGATGTGACCTCTTAGTATGGAACAACCTCAGTAACAGTTCTAAAGAGCCACCAGGATGCTTCCCCAGAATATAATCAGTACATAATATAATCAGAATATAATCAGAGGCAATATAATCACTACATACAAAATCATAACAGCAAGTGACAAAATTGACAAAGAAATTCTTGAAACCTGCAACTTCAAAAACAAGTGGTCATTGATACATGAGCTCAGGAAACAAAGGTGCCAAAAATATTAGAAAGTTCTTTTTTGCACAGAGTGGTAGATGGCTGGAAGAAGTGGTGGGGTGGATATCAAAACCATCAGGAGTTTCACAGCATGATATGCCAGTAATAGGAAAACTGCACTCCACAAATCTTCATTTCATCCTTTATCTACACTTTGGTAATTATGTAATCTCACATCTAGAGGTAAACCCTTATACATGAACATGTAGTCTCACATCTAGAGGTAAACCCTTATACATGAACATGTAGTCTCACATCTAGAGGTAAACCCTTATACATGAACATGTAGTCTCACATCTAGAGGTAAACCCTTATACATGAACATGTAGTCTCACATCTAGAGGTAAACCCTTATACATGAACATGTAGTCTCACATCTAGAGGTAAACCCTTATACATGAACATGTAGTCTCACATCTAGAGGTAAACCCTTATACATGAACATGTAGTCTCACATCTAGAGGTAAACCCTTATACATGAACATGTAGTCTCACATCTAGAGGTAAACCCTTATACATGAACATGTAGTCTCACATCTAGAGGTAAACCCTTATACATGAACATGTAGTCTCACATCTAGAGGTAAACCCTTATACATGAACATGTAGTCTCACATCTAGAGGTAAACCCTTATACATGAACATGTAGTCTCACATCTAGAGGTAAACCCTTATACATGAACATGTAGTCTCACATCTAGAGGTAAACCCTTATACATGAACATGTAGTCTCACATCTAGAGGTAAACCCTTATACATGAACATGTAGTCTCACATCTAGAGGAAAACTTCAATAACTAATGTAAAACAAAACAAATTGTCTGTATGACAATTTTGTGCACATTTTGCACAAAGTGCAAAAAAGGTTCATATTTAAGTAGGAAAGGTAGTAGTAGCTCAAGAAATGAATACCAATCAATTTACTATTCAATTCCAAGATTGTAAAACATTGTTTAAAGAAGAGCAACACGACTGTACGAAGGATGAAGAATGGGAAAAAGTAAACAAAGGTGAATTGTGTCTAAAAACATTAAGTCTGAAGCTCTTAAATGCAACATTTTAATATTTGCAAGAAAACAGTCTAATGAGCAAGCAAAAGCCAGTGATTATCCTATAGCATTTTAACCCCATTTATTGTTCTGGACTTCAATTACTCACTTGCAACTATCTCATTAAACTCATTATAGGAATTAATAATTGTAAACCAAGACTAATAATAAGCAAATGTAAATGAAGGGGAATTTTGTGAAAACTGTGCATAGTACGCTCCGCGTTAATCTGCTTCAGTGTTTACATTCGGCAAAATTATTTTGTGAGTAAAGTGCTGCTTGGCACTGCTGACAGACAACAAAACAACAATTCTTGATACAAAATGTTTATGATGCAGTTCTCATTACCATTATAATTAATAAAAGTCACAATGTTAATTTCTTAACTCCTTTAAATACCTGTAGTTCCCTTGTTATAAAACCTAAATTAGGCTATCTTTAGCTTAATAAGAGTTTCTGTTCAAAGTAAGATTCTGAATAAATTAATTATTAGTTGAGAGTAAAAAACAATCATTACCTGTATAACAAGGGGCTCTAGTGTCTTTTCAACTGATCTGGTCTTGATTTCCAGATTCTTAATATCCCAGCGTAGAATAAAACCACTTCCATTGTCTGTGTTTGACATGGCGGGGTAGGTGTTCTCCGGCATGGTGAGGATGTGGCAGTGCTTCTCTACTATCAAAGCAACCTCTCACTTTCAACTTATGTTCAACAGTCTATTGATTTACAAGATATGTATTCAGTCACTTCAAGAGCTTCTTCAAGATGTTATTAAATAATGTCTTTTCAGTTTTCTCAGAATTTCTGGAGTACAATATTTTGTTCACTACACATAGGCATTTAATACTTTCTAGAATGTTCATGCACTAATTTAAATGCATGTAGATAATAACTTTATCATGCACTTGGCTACAATGAACACTACTACTCATCAACCTAAGAAAATCAGAAGAAAAAACTAAATTAACAAAGAGTACTACAAAATCCCCAGATGAGGCTTAGTGATGCTCAAATATCAAGGAAAATTAAAATCACATTACCAAATTAAAAAGTCTACAAGAAAATAGTTCAAACATAAGAAATTAGCAGAACAATAAGGCCAGAGTAGAGAACACAGTTAATGCTACAATACAAATAAAAGTTCCAAACAACTTGCAAGACAATAAAAGTCACACTGAGACAAAGTTCCTTTCTAAACAAATAAAGACATGCACCACAGCAGAAACAGTGACTTCACACAAACGTGATGCCAATTATGCTGCATCTCATTCAATAAACTGCAACTTTTAGTTCAACACACAAATATATCAAATATAAAGAGATGCAAAGCATTCTCATTTAAACTAAATGAAATTCTTATGGGAGGGGTGTCTATACAAGAAAATTATCATATGTAATTTATATAAATCTATTCATTCTCAATGTTGATCGAGCAAACTTTGATGAATCTAGAGATGAATCTACAAAGTCTGCAGTGTTGGTTACCAATTAAAGGTGCAAGCAACCACTATGCTTATATACTTAATTACCTTAATTCCTCCAGAACCACGACAATTCAAGTCAATGTTCTGCCAGATTCATTCAGTTACCACAAGTGTACAAGACAGTAAATAAAATATCCCGAAATAAGGCATATGTAACTCATAAAAAATTCATTCTTAACTACAAACATCTTGAGAATAAGGTCCTGGATATTAGAGGTACTGAAGAACTGAAGAGGGAGATTATTTCAATTGAGCTATGCCACATATATATGTGCAACAGGAAGGGGTAATACAAATAGAATGGTAGTAATTCAACTGCAGTTTATAGTGAATCACTAGTAAGGAATTTGGTGGGACAAATGTAGCCTTTTGAGTTATTCACATAATATAGAGAAAGTGAGCGGAAATTTGTACATCTCATTGTAAATACGCATATTGTTTTCAAGTAACTCATTCTCACTTTCATGTACAGAATGTGCATCAATTTTATAATTAGCATTTACTAGCAATATCATGTACAAAAGTATCTTTTGTAGTACTATATTCAATTTTATTTTCCATGCACCTAATTTTTCATAGCGCCTCTTTTTCAAAAGAAGCAAATAGAAACAAAAAATATAAAATTTTATTTTAATCTCAAACTATTACTGGAAACACTATACTATATTACCAAATTCAGAGCACAGAACTGAACAAAATTTATCCAAATGAACTTAATTCTGTATACTGTAATGCATAAGCAATGCATAGCAAAAGTGCAACCAATATATATATATTTTTTTAAATTGCAGTAATTTCAATGTAAATATGAGTTGCTTGTTTCTCACAGCAATGATGGCACAGCATTTGTATGTGTCAATATTTTGCTGGTTCTGAGCATCACTATTTCACACATGAGGAGCCTAGTGCTAATGGACTCAGAGATACATATTACTTCATTTATGTCATCAATATAAGTAAACACCAGTATGCTCATCTACCTGACAGGGAGATGATAAATTTGTGATACGTGATAACTTTGTGCATGGTTTTAACCAGAGCACAAAAATTCCCGCAAGATAAACAGCACAACCTGAATTCGGCAAATTATATGAGGCGAACCCCAATTTGTTGCAATTTTAGATACCATATGATGCAAGTTCAAGTAAGTTTATCGTGCTAATAAAATACATCTCAAAAGAATAAAGAAACTTAGGCTATTTCTACCCTTGTATCTTATGATGCATTCTTTAGTTTTTATTAGACAAAAGAAAAATATATTGCTATGCCTGATTCTTCTATTTCAGTTATCTACAAAAATGTTTAAAAAGGTGATTGGAGCCATATTAAAGGGAGTCAAATGGGTAAGCATGTTTCCTTTCACCTTATGCTTCTGTTCACCTAGCAGTAGATAGGTACCCAGGAGATAGGCAACTGAATGGGAATCCTGGAGAAGGTCGGTAGCTTGACATTAGTAGGATCTCAATACAAGCCTAAAGCATATATGTAGGCTTGTATTGAGGCAGGGACAAATAAGCCTTGTATACACAGGCTTATTTTTCCTGACAATGGGAATTATTCCCAATTTCTTTTCCAAGCTCTATGGCAGGGGCGGGGAACCTTTTTTCTGCCAAGGGCCATTTGGATATTTATAACATCATACGTGGGCCATACAAGATTATCAACTTATATAGCCTGCAATACTTGGTCAAACATTTAATTAACTCACCCCTAATGTGATGGCAGGAACTGCTTCTCTTTTATCTTAATATAAATTTATGTTGCTATGAAAAAAGCTCCTAGATTTATTGAATTTAGAGTCTCGCATGCAGTTCCCTTGGCAGGGCCAGACCAAATTATTTGGTTGGCCTCATACGCCCCGGGGTCCAGACATTCCCCACCCTTGCTGTATGGGCTAATTTCACTGAGCAAAACTACAAATTTCAGCCTATCATATTTTTTTTTTTTTTTTTGAGATATATACAAGAGTTGTTACATTCTTGTACAGCCACTAGTACGCGTAGCGTTTCGGGCAAGTCCTTAATCCTATGGTTCCTGGAATACGATCCCCTGCCGCGAAGAATCGTTTTTTCATCCAAGTACACATTTTACTGTTGCGTTAAACAGAGGCTACAGTTAAGGAATTGCGCCCAGTAAATCCTCCCCGGCCAGGATACGAACCCATGACATAGCGCTCGCGGAACGCCAGGCGAGTGTCTTACCACTACACCACGGAGACTGCTAAATATGATGGACAACTACCAGGAGAGCTTGTCAGAGATTACACTATACAGTACCTAGCATATATCCCAGGCCCCTGCCTTGAAACCTCATTTTCAAAGATAGCAGGCCAGGATCCTAAGTGAACGAAACGTGAAACCTAAGTGAACGAAAACTGCACCAACTCGAAACGAAAACGAATAATAATTTAGTTTTAAATATGCTCAATGGCATTCCCAAAGCTCCAACTCTAACACCTGCTGCATCCATCTACATAAATCTACCCTAAAATTTCCCACACTCAATTGGCTAATTTCACCGAGTGAACTTTCGATTTATCATATGCAGTAGACAATTATTGGAGAGTTTGATGAAGAGATTTTGCCAGTACAGTATTTCTGAGGATCGAATCAATTTACTCTCATTTTCTAAAAGGTAGGGCCACGACCCCAAAATACTGTAGTGTAAATGAAGCAGGCCCACCGACATTCCAACAGGTCTGTGCATTCTGCAACTGGAGATTTGCTGAATTGAGGTTGCACTGTACAGTATTGAAAACAATAAATATTAGCCTAAAAAAATGTAAAAAGCTTCAATTTATATACAGTAATCTAATAATATACAAGGTAGTACACATTGCACATCTGAACTACTGTACTATATTAACAAAAATAAACTAATAAAATAATTAGTCTCTGAGCCATCAGCATAGCCCACACAGTGTTGCCAAATCCAGGGGCTATATTTCAAATCAAAGCTCGACATCACCTGAATCACCAAAGGCTCTAAGGTCTTCTCCACGGACATGGTGCGGATTTCAAGATTCTTTGGATCCCACTTGAGAATCACTGGGGCTCCTGTATTGAAATGATCCAAAGTCATGGTAGCAGTGGGCCGTGTTGGGAATGTTCTGCCAGGTACAATAACACACGAAGAGATGCTACTTGGGATGGTTCTCTCTGTTACCTATGTACGTGAATCTGAAAGAAAAAATATTTAAATTATGCACCAGTATTTCAAATACACATACAAGCTCACAAGATAAACAAAATATGATTCATATAAACTTGTGCCACTGCAAGAGCTATTAAATGATTAAAGGAAGGTCCACGTGTTCACACTTTATACAAAACATTAAATACTTATCTTGGGATATTAAGTGATACAAAAATTAAACACATTCAAAGATAACATGACATGTAACATCAGATAAAAAGAATACATCAGTAATTCTCATTTACATTTTGTGTAAAAAAGACAATAACATAATATCTAGTACAAATACCAGTGCCAGGTAATAGCCAAGATACAATCAATTAATTTTATCGCTCGTTGAAGTGCTGAAATGTTCCGTGACAAATTCATGCCCGATCTAATAGACCAGGCAATAATAATTAGATCATGCCCGATCTAACAAATAACATTCCCGGTTCTAATAAAAAATCATACCTGATATGCCCAGTTGTCCAGCAAGCAGTAAACATTATTGAAACTTCAAAAAATCAAACAAAAGGAACATTTTAAAAGTGCAGTCCAACACGGGGGTCTCACAAGTTAGGTTATCATAGTGCCATATGGTTCACTCTTGTCATATTTAGGAAGTGTACTGTCCCTAGGTTACAAATGTTCAGTTAAAGAAAACCAGTCCCATAATCAAAGTAACACTAGTAAAAGGAATAAAGAGCATGCCATATATATTACATAATATCCATAAGTACTGTATCCACTAGGAAAATGAAATGGAAATTCCTAACGTTTCATGTTTCACCCACATTATCCTGTCTGTATTTCCTTCATAATGTGGTGAAACACAAAAATGTTTAGAATATTCATTTCATTTTCCTAGTGGGTACTTCCAATATTAAAAAAAGTTGATAGAAAGGAGGCATTAAACTACAGGCCAACGTCATTGACAAGTATTCCGTGTAAAGTGCTGGAAAACATAATCAGGTTGAGAATGGAGAAGCATCTTGAGAGGACCAAGGACTTTGTGACAAAAAATCAGCCTGGATTTTGAAATGGAAAATTATGCCTGACAAACTTGATTTTTTTATGACAAGGTTACTAAAATATGACAGGAAATGGAAGACTGGGTACACTATTTTTCTAGACTGTCAAAACGCATTTGACATTGTTCCCCATAAAAGACTGTTGTACAAAATGGAGAACAAAGCTGGTATAATTCCAAAAACACTGAACATGGTAAAGGAGTACAGGTATCTGAAAGACAGAAAGCAGTCAAAGTCAGAGAGGTGGTTTCAAGGTGGAGGAATGAAACAAGTGGGGTTCCTCAAGGTTATCTCCTGGGACCACTGCTGTTCCTAGTTTATGTGAATGACCTGAAGGAGTGAGCTTAGGCATGTCAATGTTTGCAGATGATGAAAAGCTGATAAGGAATGTGAAAAAAGATGAGGACTGCAGAAAGTTACAAGAAGACCTTGACAAACTCCAGGAGTGGTCAGACATATCAATGCTGGAATTCAATCCCAACAAGTAAAAGAAAATGAAGATAGGAAAGGGAGAAAGAAAGCAATTTACAGAAATTGCAAATTGAAATCCAGAAAGCATCTACACCATACAGGGAAGGCAACTACAGGAGTCAGAAAGAGAGAAGGATCTGGGAGTGCATATAATTCCGGCACTCACAACGGAGGCACACAAACAGGATAACATCGTCAGCATATGGGATGCTGGCAAATATAAGAACATCGTTTAGGAACCTGAATCAGAATTCCTTCAAAGAAATCTACACATCATTTGATGGATCAATACTGGAATATGCATCACTGGTATGGAATCCGCACCTTGTGAAACAAAGCAAAAATGTAAAAAGTACAAAGATTTGCAACAAGAGTGGTTCTTTTTTTTTTTTATTATTATTTTCTACCACAGACGTGGCCACACATTTACAATGCTAACCAGCATATATACATTTTCTTCTGTCCTCCATGGACAGGGTTAGAGATCAGTTAAACATATAGTTCAGGGATTTATTGAACAATCAACACAGAAGGTGATTCGGTACTTCTAAAATGCTAAGCTAACCTACATACGTAAATACATAGCTACACAGATTTACGTATGCCCTACATAAAGTGTTCTAAGTGTCATTAATGTGCATTTACAAAGGTGAAATGCAATTCTGATCAGCTTCCATATGTACTTTATACACATACATATACATACACACACATATATACGTACATATACCTATATACATGCATATATACACACACATGCATTCACATACATTTGTCTCTTTTACTCTGACAGGGTAAGATAGCTCACAGAGAAACTAGTGTGCAATTAAGCACTTAATCACTGAAGTTGATTAAGGTGCTTTTACAAGCTCAGGTTATATAGTTACATCACATACATTGTATAATTGATACATTACATGGTCAATCTTATCTTGAGGTTATCTTGAGATGATTTCGGGGCTTTTTAGTGTCCCCGCGGCCCGGTCCTCGACCAGGCCTCCACCCCCAGGAAGCAGCCCGTGACAGCTGACTAACACCCAGGTACCTATTTTACTGCTAGGTAACAGGGGCATAGGGTGAAAGAAACTCTGCCCATTGTTTCTCGCCGGCGCCTGGGATCGAACCCGGGACCACAGGATCACAAGTCCAGCGTGCTGTCAGCTCGGCCGACCGGCTCCCTTATCTTGGGTACAAGTCCAATATATCATCAAGTGTTCCAGTACTCATATAGTAATTACACAGTTCAGCATACCTTAGCCCAGGGGGGCGAAAGTCAGTCAATATGGGACATTCTACAATATAATGTTCAAGAGAGTGCATGTTTTCTCTTTCACAAAGTTGACACATTGTGTACTCGACATTTGGGTTTTGAGAAAGGTGCCAGATACGTCTATATCCCAGGCCTATTCTGGCCATTATAACATCACATTGCCGGGTTCTTGTTCTATTAGTCCCATATGTGAATGTCTCCTCACGATATCTATCATAATATTTAATGCTACAACTTTCAGGTCTTTGTGAATTTGTTAGGTCTTGTGCCAGAGTTAAGAGGTCTAAGCTACGAAGATAGGCTAATGGAATTAACTCTCACAACCCTAGAGAATAAAAGGAACAGAGGAGATATGATTACAACTTACAAGATGCAGAGATGAATAGATAAGGTGGACAAGGACTGCACCTTCAGACTGAGAGAAAGCAGGACAAAAGGACACAGGTAGAAGCTGGAAGCACAAATGAGCCGAAGGGATGCAAGAAAGTACTTATATCCTGTACGAGTAGTTAACAAGTAGAAAGCTCTAAAAGAGGAAGTTGTAGGAGCCACCTCCATCTAAAACTTTAAGGCCTGATTCGACAAAGAATTTGAAATTCAGAGTAATTAGGCTAAAACGTAACAGGCACAAGGTGGCTAGCAGGTGGGGCATAAAGAGCTAGACCTCACTCCCCCATAGACATTGATAGGTAAGTACACACACGAAGACAATGCACGTGAAGAACAAAGCAACGACAACGGCCAGCCCTCTCCTAGTCTCTTGTGTGTGACGATACTTCCGGCTGAGTTGGGCTGGCCTACTTGTCTCACTCCTTCACCCTCATCCATGACCATACCTGAGCCTTCTCACCCACACACCCCATGCCACGACCTTACCTATCCTTCCTCCCCCCCACCCACGACCTTACATATCCTTCCTCCCCCCCACCCACCCATGACCTTGCCTGTCCTTCCTCCCCCCCCCCCACCCATGATCTTACCTGTCCTTCCTCCCCCCTCACCCACGACCTTACATATCCTTCCCCCACCCCCCACCCATGATCTTACTTGCCCCCCCCCCTTACGGCATTACCTGTGGTAAGGCCGTGGGTGGAGAAGTGTTTCCGTCACACACCCCGCCGCCTTAACACCCCCATCATTCTCAGGGGCCGGGTACCCCCCCCCCTCTCCACATAATATAGGGTATTCAGCAGGTGGGGATGAGAGCGGTGCGAGGCGGGCCGGGTACAGCCGTCTGCTGGTACAGCCACGTGGTAATTACCACCACCACCACCACATGCAGTGTTCTATTACTATTATTACAATCTATTATTGTTTGTGATGTGTGTATAAGTATGTATTAACATGATGTACTGAACGGGGTGAGAATAGCTTGAGCTACCTCATACCTTTGTGTGTATTTTACACCAATAAACTTATTTAAATTTCTATTACCAGGTTAAATAATGTGTATTACTGTCTTAACCAAAGGCTCTATTATTATCATTTAAGCAACTAAACAATGCTCGCATCTGTCCTTGAGAGAGACTTCTTATTTGAAGAGTGCATAGTTACAGCCTAATGACTGGGCTGTGGTTCCCTTCACATCCATCCATCTCCCTATACCATATCAACTGTCGTCACCACAACACGCAGGTAGGATCCAAAACCTGAGGCGGAATAAAATAATGAGGTGATACACTTTGCTACCCCATATCTGGGTTAGGCTTGGCTCGAGTACCAGTGAAGTGGCGGGGTGTAAATGGCCTCACGTCTTAGTCCAGTACTAAACAATTGGTGGTTGTCTCGCCGGGCTCTTTAACACCCGTTGGCATGACAACCATCTCCACCACACGGCGAGTTTTGGTTTAATTTATATATACAAGAGTTGTTACATTCTTATAGAGCCACCAGCACGTGTAGCGTTTCGGGCTTAATCCTATGTTCCCCGGAATACGACCCGCCAAATTGTTTAACAACCAGGTACCCATTTTACTGTTGGGTAAACAGAGGCTACAGTTAACGATTTGCGTCCAGTAAACCCTCCCTGGCCAGGATACGAACCCAGGACAAAGCGCTCGAGAAACGCCAGGCGAGCATCTCACCACTACGCCACGGGGACTACAATCAAACGTGTCTCAGTATTGGTCAATGGTGGCCGCCTGCAGCACCC